TTTCTCATTCATCATTGTGGGAGTGTGATTTGAAAGATACTCGTTTTAATAGACGTTTTCCTCAAATCTAAAACGCAACAACAATGGCGTACGTAAACACAAAACATTGATCAGAAGGAATGTCAAAACCTCTGCGTCATTCTGACAATACTTTATTCACACTGAATCAGGCCCCATCACAGATAGAGTTGCCAAGAAGGGTACGATTAACTTTAAAAAATGCAAACAATTTCCACCTAGGAGTTCAAACTGGACTTGGCTGGACTTGGCTTTGCCATATCCAGCGAGGGGCGCACCAGGGCTCCCATTAGCCTTGTGCCTGCCATACGAACTCACTGGGGTAGAAATATAACCGTGAGTTCCCCCCAACGTGTTTTGTCAGGCACAGGGTCCAGACTTTATCTCCATTGAGATTCTTTGGGATAAACCGGAGAAGATTACCGTCACGAATGAGAGAACTTAACAAAAAATTGAGTGCCACTCTGGGGGAAAACAAATGTGACGTTGTGTGACTTTACAACAAAGCTGTTCAACTAAATATAGAAATCTGAACCTACAGCAAGTCCATAACACCAGGCAATAAAAAGTCACAGTGAAAACACACATTGAAAATACAGAAATTTGTTTAAGGTGTGTGAAATATAAAAGGTGCGTTTAGGCCCAGAATGGCCAAAACCTTTTTCCATGCTTTGCTAAACAAAAAACTTTATAAATTCACAGTATCTCAAGTTTGCTGGTTCTTTCACTCAAATTTTTTTGTTAAATAAAATAAAAACAGAATTCATTTTCTCAAAAGAAGTAAAAACACTCAACACAAATCACTTGAACTCCACAGTGAGGATTTCATCACTCTCAGCCTCTGCCAAGTAATGTAGTACCAGCAACAGATTGTAGTGCCGATGGGTGGGTGGGGGGTGGACTGTGGGAGTGAATGGACAGGGTGGCTCCCACACCTCCCTGACCGGAGCAGCAAACACAATGTACCCACAGCAGTGCCAAAGATAAGGTGGGCGTGATAGTGCGGTGCGTGCGCTGCCAGGCGCTCTGCTCTGGGACGCACGGCTTCCGGCAGGGAGATGCTCTTTAGACAAGCTTTCTGCAGGATTCAGCTAATGAAACAGAAGAGCATTTTATGCAGCATAAAGAAGAAATTAAGATGAATTTGATCAGAAAATTCGGGTTTATTCTCATCTTTTAGATTTTATCAGAAAATGCTCCAAATGAGGGGTAGAAGCTAACTGATACAGGCAGCACTTTTGTCTGGCACATCACTCATTTAATAACAAATCTACTGTAATTACACTTTTAAAAGGATTTAGGTATCACATATTTATCTTCTACCAAACTGAAGTACTGAAAAATCCAAAAAGTAATGTTACTGTAAGCGATGGGCTTGAGGGAAAAAAAAAATTCAGTCTTTTGGGATATTGAACAGTTTTGAACACATTTATAGAAATGTTCTGCTACATAAAGGTCAATACTTCAGAGAGCTGAGACCTAGACAAGGCTGGCCTTAATGCCGAGAGTGTGGAAGGGGGGGCTATCCTCGCAGTCTAAGAGGCATAGAGAAAAAGAGCAAGGTTCTACCACACCACACAGAACACCAGGTACGCTCTGACACCTCCCAAACAGTCCAGCACATAGATGGGGGGTGGGGCACCACACAGGAAAACCTGTACCAAATATGGATAGGAAGTCAAAGACCTAGAGGCCTTAAAATGACACAAATAAGATTCTGATGGACTTCCAGAGCTCCACTAATAGACTGGTGGTAGTTAACCAAACAAACTAAAGAAGAAGTCACTGCTACGTGCAACGCTAGAGAAACTGAATCAAACCCATTGAAGACTTTCCAACATCCGCAGACAGTTCATATGAGGGGCTGACAGGACGTAAGAGATTTTAAGTGCCATACTAGCAGCGCAAGGTTATGAGCGCTGGAGATGCTTACACAGCAGCTTGGATGTATTTTTAGTTACTGTCTCTTAACAGCTGAGATAAAAAGCCATCCTGCTGCTGGAAAAGAAGCAGAAGGTTGTAGAACCATTTCCCCTCCCGTGTAAACTTACACTGGCTCCCCTGATGCAGCATGACACAACACAGCAGCCCCTGATCTGTGAGGGCTGCTGCAGCTGTGGGCAGACTTTAACGTCACGTTAGCAGGAATATTACGACGTGCCTACCGAGACGTGTCCAGTTTAGCTTTAAGCGCTTTATTGAGTGATTTTCCCCAGGTGTAAGATACCGCAGACATGTTAAACACAAGCGTGTGAGCTGTGAACATTTTTAATAGAAGAATACTGCGTATTCACTACTTTTCCCAACTGACAAAAAATAAGCAGAAAGATGAAGAGTCACGCACCACAGCTCAATATAATAATTGGTAATCATTTACCATTGTGCAGCACAGAGGTCAAAACAAAAAATCAAAAAGACCCGAGTCACTGGTGAACAATTCATGAACACACAAATGTCGCCCTGCATCCTGGAGTTAGCAGAGCACCACGTGCACATTAATCTGCAGCTGGGAGGACCCAACAAGTGCACGAAACGTTGATGTTCAGCATAAATGGGAGAGCTCGTTGGTAAGTGTGTTAGACAAAGCAAAATCACATTGGTTTTTGCTCTTTCAGAGAGCTTATCGGTTCATTTCAACCTTCCATTGCTTGTCCTAGAAACAGGCCTTTCCACTGACAGCTAGGATGCATCGGATCGGCTACCCTGGGAATTCACACATGCCCATTAAAATATGGCCAGATAGATGTTTATTTCCGACCACCATGGCTAAAGGTGTCAACTGGCTTCTTTCTTTGGATCGAGGGAACCACACTGATAGCTGCTTCATGAGCTGTCTTTGAACAAACCTTTAATGGAGTGTCTCTTCTCTAGCTGGTGCAGGTCGGGCAGGATGTGGATGCAGTTGATGCAGCAGTAGGTGAAGAAGTCCAGCAGCACGACTTTACCAGCCAGCTCCTTGTTTAAAGACAGTGGCTGCTCCGTGTTCAGCCATTCTAAGCCTGCAGCAGATCAGAAAGGACAAGAATGCTGTCATAGTTCATTATGTGACTCAATGAGTATAGGTGGACAAAGTTTTATATTCCTTGATCAGCAGATCTTTTGTTTTCGTTATGAGTTTTAAAATCGCAACATTTCCAGGTAAAGAAAGCTTAGTAAGATAGCGCAACTCAGCAGTTCACACAAAATAACAAGAAACAACATGCACCTATCCTGGTCAAATAGAAATGTGTTTGCCCTCTAACTAAGAGGAAAAAGCAATAGAAATTAACTGAAATAGTTCAGCCAGCTTTAATAGTTACCAAAAATTAAGTTTGGATTACAATATTCGTTTTTACTCTCATGAGGCATTAGAGCTTTGTGTACTGACAAATCTGTTTTTCATTTGGGTTTGGCTGCTAAAATATTGGTGCAACTATCAATTTTCAATGACAAGTTAAACTCTCAAATAGAAATTAATCTAAAATATCTTTAGGTAACAGAGTAATTGAATGATGACAGATGTGGTCAGGTTATGCTGCTCACAAGAAGCCAAACTCTGTATGAATAATATGCACAGCTTTTGATTGGATTTTAGAAGAGGAGTTCAGTTGATTTACAGCTTATTAAAAGCAATACATCTGAAATCTTGCAGTGGATCATTGTGATGAGCAGCATCAGATGAACTGGTTGGGTGACTAAGGTCTTTTAATATCCTTTGCGTTAATCTACTGGAAGGTCATGAGCTTTGTTTTGTGTATAATCTGAACCCTAGTTTAATTTGCCATTATAGGGGCAATGTGGTGGTCACAGCGCAGCAGAGTGAATTCGCAAGAAAATGTGTACTGTTCTACTGATGATCACCATCTACTGGTCTGATGAGATACTGCCAACAGACTTAATCCCTCTGAAGGGTGGCAACAAGTGAGTGCTCCCATTAGGTTATCATCCTATGACACTATCAACCACCCACAATGCTGCCCTCAGCACGTGTTCCTTAAATCACAAACATTTAATCTCATTGTCAGAAAGAAAGAAAAGGAAAAAATGGAACCAACTATTACTTGCTGCACACACTGTGTGTTTACCTTTCCCTGATCAAGCAAACTGATACCTGAGTCCAACCTGATCACTGGAACTTGGCCAACAAGTAAAATACACAACAGGGGATTCAAATGACATGTTCAAATAGTTAAAACTACATACATACAATGCCCAATTGCGTTAATGTGGTCATATCTCTGTCACAAACGGTAAGGGTCTCCACTGAGCAGGAAGCGTTGGAATTCCTTTATCTTAAACAAGTGCAGAATTACTGGTTACAGTGACACACTTTTAAACTGTAATTAAACGTCAAAACAGATCAAAGTACCAAGTAAGCAAACGGTGCTTAACTCATTTCTTATTCTTATAAAGAACTGTAAAGATATACAAGGGATAGCAAACTAATTTAACTGTTGTGGAGAGATCCTGGGTGCTAAGGAAGCTAGACAGGTAAACATGGTCTAACCTGTTTGAAAATCAGGGATCCTTAGGTCCTCCCGCTGGTCTAATTTTTTCAAGCATTCGTAGACAATATGCTCTTTTTCTTCTTGCGTTGTGACATCTTCTAGGGCGATTTCGAGCTGACTTTGGATAGGAAATAGTGTGGAGAGGCTACATTTGGACGCCATGTTTGCGACAAGCACAAACTATTACCACCGCGTCATCAGCTGTCAGACGACGAAACAACCAATCAGAGCCCCTTATCGGGAAGACCAATCACAGCTGAGTACTGTGAGCGAGCGACGCAGATTCGGACTGCTGATTTTAATAAAAAGGTGAACAAATAACGCTTATACCGAGGGTTCCTCAACAGCAGTCTTTAACTCGAAGCTATATCTATTAACTTAAAATATATTTATGAATTTCAAAAATCTAATATCTGAACAATTCAAGCTTGCTCCCAGTGTGGAAAGTGCTAACCGTTTTAGAGGGCTGGCTTTACTAGATTAATTGTTTTGTGGCGGTAAGTGGTCCTGACATTACCAGGCAGTAAGTAGAGAATCAAATGCTAATAATAAGGAAAGATTGCACTCTATTGTAACTATAAGTGGAAGTGAACACATGTTTTTAATTATACGTGTATAGAAGATATTAAGTCTTTAAGTAGTTGTGCCGTTAGTGGAATATCTTGTTCGCGGAATGTTACCAAACGGTGGTGCTTGTGTAATAACGTCCTTAAGGTGACGTTTGGCACCTTACTTTTTCTGCTGCTTCAAATGTCACAGAAGGACGACTCAGAAAGTGACATTTGGGATTATAAACCTCTAGAGAAGAAAAAGAGAACTGAACCTTCAACTGCCCTTAAAAGGAGATGCACATCCAGGAAATCTGCAAAGAAAGAAACTTCTCTCAGATCAGAGGAGAGGGATGCAAAAACTCCAGCAGCAGAAAGAGGGGATCGTGCTTCTGCTGGTTATGTTGACCAAAAATGCATCATAGATCTTCATATATTACCCACAAAGTCATCTTCTCCTGAAGAGTCAGTACAAAGTGACAAGAATGCTGCAGAGAGATCAACTTCCGAAGAATATTGTCCCATCTGCCAGATGCCCTTTATCATATTGGTCGTACAGACCCAAAGATGGCATGTTGCTGAATGTCTGGACACCCCCAGGGACCAATGCAAAGGTACAGACATACATTTTATGCCATCTCTAACAAATAAGATAGATTAAGTGACACATCAGTCATGAAAATTTCAGATTAAAGTCCTCCACACATTACCCTCGTACAAACATCTGCAGCAACAGGCCAAAACAGGTCTTTTTCTGGTCTGTTTTCAGGTCAAAACTTAAAAAAAGTTAAATAGTTTACCAACTAATTTTATTACATTATGTTTTTGTAATTTAACCATATTTCCAGCTCTGTTTGGGATCTGTAAATCATCAATGGAATCAATCGCATGTTTAAAAAGTCCAAAAGCCACAAATTAAATGTTGAATCTGAGAAAACTTTGGATGACAGATTTTGATTTCTGTAAAATTCTTTTGTTGCAGAATGTCCAGACGGTCTTCAGTGCTCCTCCACGATTCCAAACCATTACAAGAAGTTCAACCACATGCTTCTCGCCCACAATCGATCAAACGGGAACACAGCCACTTTCAGTCTCTCCCAGCAAGCCAAGACCAGCAGGGAACCAAACTTTGGTTGTCTCCCAGCACTGCTAAAAAATGAAGAGGACAGCTGTACTTTTGAAACTTCACAGAGTAGTAGTCTTTCTGCTTTATCCACTCCTAGCATCTCACCTCAGAGCAGCCAAAGTGGAACGCCTCGACCAAAGCCTCCAAATGGCCTTCTGCTGCTGCGCTCTCCTGGACCAGAGGACTTTAAGAAAAAGAAAGGCTGGTTGTTGTCGTCGAAAGGGAAAAAATCTGTCACTTCTTCCCAAGAGAGTAAAACTGAACTTTTAGCCACTCCTGAAAAAGAATCTGGCAAATGTCCCAAAGAAGATTTAGATCAACCTTCCCCTGCAAATGTTGAAGAAATATCCTACTCTCCTCTGTCTGAACTTCCTGCAGAATTGGAAGCCAGTAATGAGTGTCAGAAAGCTCTTTTTGTTAATGAAGCATCTGAAAATGAGAGGGAAAAATCAGTTATACTGTTTGATGACAGCTTTTCAAGTGAAGACGAGCTTCTTTCCGCATTCATTGATGATAATTTGGAACTCAGTAGTGCGCCAGACAAAAATCCTGGCTCCCTAAGTGCTCAGCTGTGTTCAGTTCCCTCATTAGCACCTTCTGGTGAAGTGGCTGCCTCCACAGTTGACGGAAACAGAGCTGATTCTTCTGGTGGAAAAGAAACTCGGACATCTGAAGGCGTAATCGGAAAGACGAGCCTTCGGTCGCCGGGGTGTGTCGTCTTAGAGCGCCTCAGAGAAAACCTCCCTAGCTCCGGGGGTCAGAGCAGCAGCTTTGAGCCTCAGCAGCAGCCTCCCAATACCCCTCCAGAGCCTTTGTCTCAAAACATGCCGCCTCAGCGGGGCCCCAAAAAGGCCGGCGCGGCCTCTGGTTTAAAGCAGACCGACATAGGGGTGTTTTTTGGCATCAAGCCGCTGATGGAGAAGAAGGCTGAAAGCGGGCCGACTGACTCGACCGGCTCGGTTCCAACAGCCAGTGAGAGCACGGGCCGGAGGGGATTCATGAGACATCGGCAGAGGATAGCAGAGGCTGGATCAGCCCCGGATACGTCACAGGTCACAGAAGCTGTCAACCACTCGGGTCCAGTGGACGGTCGGGGAGGCGGAGGACGAGGGGGGAACAGAGGATGGAGAAGAAGGTGGAACAGAGGCGACCCTGATGGAGAAGGGGTCCAGCCTCGTTGTCCTTTTTATAAGAAAATTCCAGGTTTGTGTGTGCGTGTTTTCTATATGAGAGTTCCTTTCTTTGTTCTTTCGCTCTTTTATTAATGTGTTGAAATTATCTGAAACTTTCAGGAACAAAGTTTGTTGTAGATGCCTTCCACTATGGAGAGATAGAGGGCATCACTGCCTACTTCCTGACACATTTCCACTCCGACCATTACGGAGGGTTGACCAAGAGATCCACTGTTCCAATTTACTGCAACAGAGTAAGTCAATGTGACCGACTCGCTCCCACTGCCCATCAGTTTGTTGATCTTTTCTGGATCGATCTGCACAAGAAAGGACTGTTCTCTGAAGACAAGTGGTTCGACTTTGTGGATTTTACTCAAATGTTTGGCTCCCAAGCTCCCGAATTCATTATTTCCTTACAGAGACAGAAATCGTGTTCTTGTCAGTCTGTGTGCGCTGGAAAAAAAGAGAAATCTAATCGTCTGCCAAAGGCCCTGTCAGTTCCTCGGTGATATGGAGGAGATTCACAAAAAGTGTTTGTTTGCATACATTAAAGCCTCCTGACTGCTCTGTTACAAATTCACACCTGATGCTTTTTGTTATCTCGGGGGACTGACTGGGAAATTAAATCTGGTTTTCATTTACCAGCAAGGAATAGCAATTTACAGTTGCCATGACAATTGCCTGGTCAGTTCAAATTTGAGTGCCTCACAGTTGTACAGATTAACACATGATGAGCAGGGGAGTTCTCAGTTGGTCTTTTTATTAATCTACTGTCCGAGTATATTAGCAAAGCTGGAGATGAAAGAAGTTTAAGATAGCAGCTTTATGAAAATGCAGATTTTTCAGACTCCATAGGAGTTTTTATGGGGAAGACAACAGAAACTTAGTCTCAAGAGGAAAAAGTTTTTTCTTCTGAGCATGTCCAGAAAATAAATGTTGACTGACGGCTGCTTCTTCTGGTCAGATTACAGCGAACCTGGTGAAGAGCAAACTGAGAGTGGCTGAGCAGTATGTCCATGTCCTCCCCATGAACACTGAGGTCACCGTGGAGGGAGTCACGGTCATCCTCTTGGAGGCCAACCAGTGAGTCAGCCATGTCTTCAGGGGGGATGCGTGGTGTGAGGATTTCCCCAGAGGGAGAGATGGGAGTAATTCTATGATGTGGCTCAGAATTTGCTGTACGCTCACTGGGTTTGTAGATGGTGAGGATGTAGCTACACCATAAAGGGGCAGAGAGTTTACACCAGTCACTGTATCATAAACCTGGTGAAACGGCCAGGGAGGAGTGGAAGCATTTTCAAACTTTTGAACAGTTCTTTGAAAATCTGGCCAGTGTTCATTAAGTCTTCAACAGGCTGAACAATAATTTCAGTATAATGCATGTGGAATTCTAACAAATATTTTTGTGGGGGTTTTTTTTAGCCTAAATGTTCATTTAATAAAGACCACAGGTTTATTGTGAGGCTGTATGCGGGTAGTTTTCCCCGTGCCCTCTCCAGCCTCACCCCCTCTGTTCTCTCAGCTGTCCAGGAGCCGCCATGCTTCTGTTCTTCTTGCCCGACGGACAGATTGTCCTCCACACTGGAGACTTCAGAGCTGACCCCTCGATGGAGACCTATCCCCAACTGCTCAGCTGCAGAGTGCAGACCCTCTACCTGGACACCACGTGAGTGCCCCCACAAGTCTGCTGCTGTCGGGTTGTGTTCATGAAAAAATTCACAACGAATCCTTAATGGGTTTTTTGTTGTTGTTTTTTTTCGCAACGTGACCACTCGTCTCTGTAGCTACTGCAGTCCTGAATACACCTTTCCCAGGCAGCCCGAGGTCATCAGCTTTGCAACCAACACTGCGTTTGAGCGGGTGACGCTTAACCCACGCACGCTGGTGGTGTGTGGATCGTACTCTGTGGGGAAAGAAAAGGTCTTTATGGGTACGTGTCAGTGCTTATTCGTATCATGTCGTTTCTGTTCTGCATCACCTTTGTTTTAAAAGTGTTACTCGTTGCAAGTCTTTTTTTTTTTTTACTGTAAAGCAGAGTAATTGTCAGGTCATTTGCCCTCTGTTCTTCATTTGATTTATCCTGATAATGCTGTTAACGTGTTTGACTAAAAGCAACGACCACTACCGCCACCACCGAGAGCTTTCTCCATGTCCTTATATCATCTTCCTGCATTTGAAAGGTCATCTAATGAGACATCTTTATTGAAAGCGGAGCAGAGTGTTTGTGCGTTAGTCGGTTTCTCAGTATAGAGCCGGTCAGGCAGTCCATGTTGTCGTCATGTGGAGGCAGCCTGTCCTCTGACACGTGAATAATGGTTTGTTGCACAAAGAAGCACTTAAAAACAATGTTGTACTGATAAAAACGGAGCAGCATTTATTTTCAAAATCGTTGCTGCTTCAGAAGTAAAAACAGGAAAAACAGCTTTTTTGTGTATTTTATGTTGTCTGTAAATTGTGCTTTTCCTGCTGGGGCCTGAGAGCGCTCATACTCTTTGAGTGCACACTTCACAATGCGGGGCGAATGGTGCAGTACATTACATTAATGCTTCTATCACTGCTCATTCTGCAGCTCGCAATATGTGTGCATTGTGTTCCAGTGAGGTTAATGCAATGTAAAATACAGTTTCCCTCCCTAAATGACTTGCTTACACGGGCACTATTCTGCTTTGTTTGCAGCACTAGCAGAAACCTTGGGGTCTAAAGTGTGTCTCTCCAGAGACAAGTACAATACCATGTGCTGCCTGGAGTCGAAGGAAGTCAGAGAGCGAATAACCACCGACTGGAAGGCGGCCCAGGTCCACGTGCTGCCCATGATGCAGCTCTCCTTTAAAGTGAGGGCAGAGGGGGGTGTGGGATGTGTGTGTTTTTTTTTCTTTCTAAGATTAATTCATTTGATTTGTTTTTAATACTTTTTCCCTTGTTTTTTGTTCATTTGATTAAAATGTCCCTGTAATCTCCCTGACCACTCCTGAATTCCTGAATTTTAAAAAATGGCATACAAACACATTTCTGCACTTTATTTCTCATAAACATTTTGTACTTGAATGTGAGGACACTCTCTGACATCAACAGACAGGTCCAACAGCTGGTTCACAATAACTAAGCACTTGAACAATGTATGATATATGTTTAGTTTTTTTTTTCTTCGAAAAACTACCTTTAATTCCACATGTTTTTTAAGGTCGGACGTCTTCTGGAAGCCTTCAGTGTTCTTTTTATTCAATTCTTTTGTTGTTTTTTGCAGAAGCTGCAGGATCACTTGGCACGCTTTTCAGGACAATATGATCAGCTGGTGGCCTTCAAGCCCACAGGCTGGACCTTCAGCCAGCAGGTGGAATAGAGGACATCAAGCCTGAGATCAGTGGCAATATTTCAATCTACGGTAGGTGGAAATGATTCTCTCCAGATTTGAATCTTAACTGATACAACAGCAAAATCCCTCAGACTAGGGCTCCCCCCTTTTTGGCAAAGAAGGCATAGATGGAGGAATTAATCTCATGGCGCACTGTGGAAACGGACGGAATCCATAATCAAGATTTTGATCAAGTCTTGAATCATTACTTTTCTGTTATCGACCTACAGCACAGTTGGAATCATGACCAGATTTTCAATGGCTGCTTTTGCCACATTTTCTGCCAGTCCTCTGTGTTGTGTACTGAGGAGATCCATCAGCTGCATCGGCCATCTGGCTTGTAACCTACAACCACCAGCTGGAGGCTTTTTCAAAGCGCACTTGCATAATATAATTTCTTCCAAACCTCTGCGGTTTGCGTGTCACTCAGGCAGGGGTTGATTCGCTCTCTTCTCGTCTCCCCCAGGCTCTTCTGCCATATGCTACTGCTGCCACCGATAGTTGCCTGCATGTGACAGACATGAGAGTGGGCTTAGTTTCAGCCACACCTGCTGTTAAAGGCAGAGCTCTGACTGAGGTGTGTGGAGGTGGGCAGGTCAAACGAGAGACAGCAGTTTTCTTCTGCAGGTCCAATCTGTTTGTTTTTGTGTAAACCCAACAGAGGGGTCTCCACACAGTGTCTGTGTAAAGCTGGCCCTGAGCATATGATCCTGTTGTAAGACATTACCCTGTTGTGCCAGAGATTTAATCACACTAAACATCTGCTTCTGTCAAGCTTTCACCTCTGAGCAAATTCCCCTGAATGTACACCAGGAGTGGATGACAAGGTGCGCAGATGAGTTCAATGTGATGCCATCCTTTGTGTGTCTGTGCCAGGAATACCGTACAGTGAACACAGCAGCTTCCTGGAACTGAAGCGATTTGTCCAGTGGCTCAGGCCCCTGAAGATCATCCCAACTGTCAACGTTGGCAGCTGGGCGAGCAGGAAGTCCATGGAGAAGTGTTTCAGTGAGTGGCTGGCAGAAGCTAAAGCTAAGCTGTAACTTCTGTGCCGTTGGTCTCCAGCACTCTCCTGCAGCTGGGAGTTTCTGATGGCAGAGCCAAAGACTTTACAGTACCTAGGAGCCATTGGAACACTAATAATTTTTATTGATGCAGATTCAGCTTTTGTGATGATGATGGTTTAAGAATGGTCAAGTATTCACTTTTTAAAACCCGAGCCGACTTGATTAATTGTTTCAAAGAAACGTGTTGACAGTTAAACCTGAGCCCTCCGGTCTATTAGTTGGCTGTGCATACGATGCCACCTTCACTTCAATCATTTCCTCTTTCAGCATTCTGAAAATTGAGCTCTTGAACTGTGCAATTCTTTCCCTTTTTTTCTCAATGTAATATATTATACTGACAAAAAATAAACGTTTCACACATTAATACGTCTACCTTGTTGGCTTCCTCCTGGATTAAAAAAAAAATAATTTCAAGGTTGTTAATATTTAGGTATGTCCTGCCACACATTTTGTCCATTTACAAAGTACCTGGAGCCTTGAGGAGAACGCCACAGCTTTGAAACAGCTAACTTGCTTTAAAGTGCACCAGCAGATCTTCCAGCTGTTTATCTCTGAAACAGCAGAGGCGTACAGCGCAGGTACGGCTCTCTGAATCTCACCCTTTTGTATCAAGATTTTCAGCTACAGCTTGATATCATCAAAGTCTGAACAAATTAATTTAGGTGTTTAGTCTCGGTGGGCACAAGGATGAGAAAATGTACTCTGTTCACATTTGAACGGTTTTGAAGTGCAAATGAAACCTATTTATAAACTTTACACATGTTTGAGGCACACAATTATATTTCCCCCCCCCTGTCCAATCTGGAATATCAACTCTTTTTACACCCAAGTGAAATGAAAATAAAAAATAAATTCTTCTAAAGCAAATAAGGCATGCGCCCACCTCAGGGTGCTTGAATGGCATACATTTCCCTCGTTTTTGATGTACTCATTTCCTACTCTTCTGTGACTAACTTCATTACTGCCTGTGCTGTAAATGGTACGCTGTCTGTAACGATTTTGTCTTCTGAAGCATTGAAAAAATGTAATTGCACTAAAGCGGTACTGAGAAGAAAAGGGGATCTGGTCACCATCATCCTACAAGTCCACACCCTGTCAATAATGTTGAGGTATGCTGTTCAGCTGAAAATGATCATGATCTTTTGGGTTCTGTTCCCCATAAATCGAACAAGGACCCCAAAACCAAGACAAACTTCCTGGTCTATAATGAATATCTGACAATGACTTATTCTTTATGACAATGGCAAATTGGCAATGCCTCTGACACTGTTACTTTGAGGCAAAAGCCACCTGATTTTTTTTTTTACACTTACCTTAACAATTACCATGAATTCATTTAAAAATCCTGGACTTTGAGGGCTCTATATGTTGACCACAAGTGAAAATGGCTGTTTGGATGGGAGGCAAAGACAGATTGTCATCAGCGGTCAAGTTTATTCATTAACATTATGCAAACAAACAAATGATTGAGCATATTTATGTTGCTGCACAGTTTGTGTATTGCAGTTGTCAAAAAGATCAAATGCACTTAATGTCTTTGGCAGGATGAATTATTTTTCATAAGTTAACCTCATAAGAGGAAACGATATCCTTGGAAAAGATCACGTGAAACCAGGGTCAGTATTGGGTGTAATGATTTCTGACCACCATAGACAGTTGCAAATTTATGAACCAAAGTATTTACAGTTGATTTTATGGCCACATAAATTATAATGCCTTGTACAATTGTGCAATGTTACTTTTTTATGGATCTGAACTTAACAGACAATGGAAAAGACCCACATCACATTGGATCTGCACTGTCTGCGAGTGCCAGTCAAAGTCTTCTTTTCTCCTCTAAATTAACTAGAAACGGGTTAAAAAAACAACCCAAGGTGTGCCACTGTCTGCATTTAAACTGTCTTTGATGGGTGGAGGTTATGGAATACCGGTTTTGCCCTATTTTTTCCACCTATGACTTACAAAGTGTTTCTGATATAAAAAAAGAACGAAAAAAACTCAAGTTCAAAATCTCTGCCAACATTTTTATGCAATCAAATGTAGACAAACTGGTTTCTGCCCAGACTTCTCATGCCAGGTGAGATTCACAAGGAAATTAAAGTAAAAACTTCCTGGTAAGTGAGTCCAGGTCAACCATCAAAAATCTTCGGGACTTTTCCTCAGGGGTTTTCCCTTGGTTGTTTACGTGCAAATACATTCAATATAAAAAAAGATTAAGACATTTGGTTAAATAAATGTTCACAGTTGTTTTTCCCAACATGACCAACAAAGTATTTGTCTCAAGTCCAGGAGACTGTCGAGTGACAAAAAGGCACCAAACTTTTGTTATGAGGATAGTTCAAAGACAACTGTGAAAAGCAAGCCTCTTATCTAAGGTTATAAAGTGAATATACCGTAAATCACAGTGAGTAACCTGGGAGAGTAACAGATCAACAGAAAAGAATCCACAGTCGGGCATATGCTGTTGGCTTTCTGAAGCGTCCAGAACATGGTACAAACCCTCATCACAGGAGGCCGTAAATGCCTCAGTCGGTGCAGGGGCAGTTGGGCAAGTGAAGAGGCTGCCGTCCACGCTGACGCAGGAGGGTCACTTTCACCTAAAAGTAGATTGGTTTTTCAGATGGCCACATCAATTAATACTTTTATAATAGATTCCGATGATGTGTCAAAGCCTTTTTGTGTGTTGGTGATGACTGTACCTCATTCTTGAGCGACTTGCTGATGTACATGTTGAAGTCCTCTATGCTGCCGGTGTGCAAGTCGTTTATTGCCAGGATTTGGTCACCTTTGTGGAACAGGCACACTGTCTGTGGCTGCCCCGTCCACCCAGAAACACTGCCACACATACACACACAGAAACACACACTCTGAATTCAAGACATACTATTCCGTACTGCCCATACCTCCTGACTTTTTACTGATCTTGTAGAGGTTTGTTAAAACGTCTAAATGATTTCAGTTATTTCTGTCACACTGTGTTCAGTTAGATTACTTGAGATGTAGCTCATTACTGATAATGATACATATTTTTTTTCAGTTATGATGAAAAAGATAGACAGAAAAATTGGCTCATGACAGAACAAGTTATGCTGTTTCCAGCTTTGGATTTTAGTTGCAGTTTGACCAGATTTATTGACAAAGGAAGGAAATTTCTCTCGATTCTCACTAAAAGAGGCCAAATAGCATGATGTAAATGAAAATGTTCAAAAGTAACTGTAATAGCTAATAACTTTCGTCCATGGAATAAACCTCCAAACAAAGCATCTCTGCAATTAAATAGAACAACTCCTGCAGTACAACAGAGCCTTCTTAAACAACAGGACTTTTGTTCTCTGCTGCAAAGAGAGCAAATGACGACATTCACTATCCCGATCAACTTTGTCTCATATGAATTTTGTTTTTAAACAATATGAGTCTAATGCGCTAAAAGCAAACCAGAACAGAGGGAATGAGGTTTTATATGTTTCCATGATAAAGGATACATTGACATTTTGGATACATTTGTCTTCATATTTCTCTTTAGATTCGCCTTTTCAGATATCTGACTCACAGTAACTTAACCCAGGTGACTTTTCAGTGACCGACAGTTCCTGTTTTCCATACACACCTTGGTTTCCCGTCCAAATCTATAAGTGTGAGGTGCTTTTTCAGATCAGCCGGCTTTACTTCTATGTCCTTCTCCAGTAGGGTGAGTCTGTCAATGCTTGACAAGAAAATAAAAGAAAATTGTATATTGTTGTATTATTTAAGTGTTATAATTAATTAGGGGGATATACAGATGCTGACATTTTCATTTCAGTGCACTTAACTTAGTTTCCATGTCCAATGTGACTTTTTTTCTAAATGCACTGCTCAGACAGAATTACAACGGTGCGAAATATTTTGAAAAAGTCCCCAGCAACCAGGTGAAAATATCTATTCACACAAACAGACTAAGGTGTCTTTCTTAAAAAAAATGGTATCATTTATTAATCAGAAGTTCTCACTTCCCAGCGCTATGAGACTGTACACACTGTAATGTAGCGTTCAGTTTGTGGTAAATAGGTAAAAAAAGAGAAATGCAAGCACACCATTCTGTGCACACATCAGGGCATATTTACTTTTTAAGTAATTTTAAAGTTTGGAATGGAAGCTGTTTCAGTACTTGATCACCTTTATTTAACTACATTTGAATCAGCGTTTGATTACAAAAACCTCTTATAAACCACTCTAACCAGTTTAGCAAGATGTGAGTTTCTCCCAGACTTCCCTCCTGGTAGTGTTGTCTTACTGAGTCACCCAAAATGCAGAAATTCCTTTTGTTATGTGTGTCGCTTTTCTTGTCATTAGAGCACAACAGGGTTTTAAATATCTCCTTGCACTAATTAGAAGCAGAACACCTCCCATTTCTCACTCGAACCCTTTGCTTCAGCGAACTCAATTCAAATTCCAAACGTCCAGGTTTCAGCAACTAATCCGTTTTTTTTTTCAAATTAAAATACATTTCCCAAATGGTAGTTTGAGAAGTTGCAATCAGAAAATATTTGGAAAATGTCACCTTTCAGTGGAGCCTTGCTCTTCCCTTAGGGGCACATAGCTATCCAGCATCTCAACAGAAGAACTGGAGCTGCTGCTTAAATCTGAAGATTGACATTTGTCCTCTCTGTAAAGCAAGAAGTAAAAATGTGACAATAATGTGATGTCTCGTTAAATGTTAGTAAAAATATAGCTATTATTCAGCTATTACACCAGTGTATTACAGGTTGATGGCCAACAGAAGATAATGCAACTTTTTATAGAGGCAGAATGAACAAATTACAACTCTAGTAAATCAAGGCAAAGAAATGTAGATGATTTATATCACCGGGTAGTTAAACTGTCACAGAGGTGATTGGACTTAAATAACATACATACCTATACGAGATCTTGGTACAAGACATTTAGCCTTTGTGTTGAAGTGTAACTGCAACTAAAAGGTTCCCTCAAGGTTATGTAACAAGGATCGGGTGTCTTGATATTTTCTTAATTAGTTCCAAAGAGCAGCAAGGTAACAAGGATACAAATTCAGTTCTGAGTTACTTTTGGATTTCTAATTGAGGGAAATGTTTCAGAGAACTTAGATTTTTCTTGGAGGCACAATATCAGTTGATCAGGGCGGGTTAGAAGTAAGAAATCAGAGTGAAATGTAGAAGAAATGCATAGATTGACATCATGGTTGTTTAAGCAGGACATAAGCAGATGAATGTATGATAACTAGAACAAATATTAACAACAGACTTTCCTTGGTATTATCTGTGGTATATACAGTATATGCTGATATGTATAGATTATCAGCGCGTTAGATCAATATCATCTTTTGAGAGTTAAGTGATATCATAGCATACAGGCTGATGCACAAGTTCTGAGGCTAAGCGTTTCCTGGATACTTGACTGGTCTCGCACTGTAAGAATAAGCCTTTGTTGTCACTCTAGGTGTTTGAGCAAAAGGGGCCATTGTTATCTTTGATGATTGAGCAGTATCTGAGTCACTGCGTTACCAAGAGTTACATAAAGCATGGGGCACTGACTCCAAAGACAAGTGAAAAGTCAAAAATAGATGTGAGGAGATAAAAGGCAGCCATAAATCTTAAACACACCTGTTGGTGTCTGCCTCTTCCGCACATGTCGGAAGAGAATTCAGTATCTTCTTTTTGTCAAACGTCTGAGTGAGGTTGGGTGAGTGCAATGATGAAACCTCATGGTCACTGAAAAGCATCGGGCACAGAAAAAATACTTTGATCATCAATAGCAATTGCCAGTCACTGTTTTTTTAGCATCGTCTGAATAAAAATGCAGGGCATCCATTACTGAAAGCATATTTAAACTTACACAGGCTGAGCTTCTGGTTTAATCATTTTAACAGTGTTCATTGTTTCATATCTGGAAGAAATATAAGAATGATATTAGAAATGAGCAGAAAAACTAACAACATTAGCGTTTGTAAAATGCTGATGTTGTCTCACACACAAAGAAACACTCACATTAACTCAGCGCTGCTGGTTCTCACTGGGCTTTTCTCCCCTTTCTGTCCATGCCATTCAAAGAAAAAATATAGGAGTGAAATTACAAAAATGAATCAACCATCTTGATACAAATAGCATTTGAAGTTTGAATTATTCGTGATTCAGTTAATGTGAAGCTCATAAAAACAATGCCTTTTTTTTGCTATTTTATACAGTTAAACAAACAACAACAATAAACGTATGATTGTGAAAAAACTAATGCATAATTGAGTAAATAACTCACTTGTATTGATAGATAGGATCTGGGATAGTCATAGATTGGATTTACTGGCTCAGACAAACGTCTTCTGGAACACTCTTCATCCTGCTACCAAATCAGATACTGTTAAAAAGAAAATTCTCCAACACCAAGGCTGTTATTTGCTTGCAAATAACAGTGGAACAGTGTTACACCTTTGCTTTCTCTGGGTCGATATCCAAAGTGTGTGAGGATGGATCAGACATGGACCTGATCTTCAATATGGGCTAAAATGCACAGAGACATAAATCATACATTTTGAAGTCCTTATGTTGTTGTAGGCACTGAATAAAGTCACTACACAGGCTAAATTAAGAAAAGAATACATTTACAAATGTATTGTTATCAAGATGTTTTCATTACTTTGCAATGATGTGTTGAACATGCACAGAAATTTAAAAGGTGATTGCTTTAAGAATCACTGACATGGGAATCTATTAGAAATAAATAGGTTATTTGAAAGACAAGAAAATCATTAGATACTCACAACTCGCAAAGTATTTTTCCCGGCATGGTTTGGGCTAACCCTCCCCTCTTCAGGCAATGCTCTCTATAAATGAATTACAAGCAGTTAGTGATGATTAAACATTGCTATCTTGAACTCTTCCACTATAATTAAAAAGAGCTTTTGTGCATATCAAAACTATATGAATAGATGTTGAGTGGACATGTGTTCTGGCCTTTTCAGTCCCCAGATCATAAAACTGATCTGCCAAAGATTATTGGGTTATTTTATAAAGATAATGATTGGAATTCTTTTGTTTCTTTCCTTTTTCTTCAAATCAATGAATCACTACTAAGGCACAGGGAAACGGAGCTTTTCTTGCAGCATGTTTTTCCCAACTTAAGACAATATTGACATGAGCTGAATTTGTAGATTTAAGTACATGGGAATGGTTCCATTTAAACTGAAAATGATTTACTGCTTGAGTGATTTGTGATATCCCCATAACTTAGTGTCAGGTCTACAGGATGCATGCATTTCCCTCAACAGTTCAAACAGAGCTCTGGTTGGAATAATGTTGACCCACCTTTTCAAACTCGGTGCTGCAATTCTTTTTCCGCATAAACGGGTTAGATATTACCTGATAAAACAGGAAGAGAGTTCTGTTTACAAAAATTATATTCTTTCATGAGTCATTGACAAAACGACTTTCTTTGTTTAAAGGAAAGGAGGGACTGAGCCTCAAATACCATAAGATTAGATAAAGAGTAAAGTAAGCTGCATTTTGTGAATTTGACTCATTAAAAGATCAAGACAGAACAAGACAGCCGTCTTTTCAAGGAAACGTGCTCAGTTTACAGAGGTACCCTGCCAAGCACATTGACTGGAAACATTTAAAAGTCGCTTGCATGTTGGTTCAGGGATGAATTGACAGATTCCAATTGGTTAACAGCCATTGGCATGACCTCTCTTCTGCATCGGCTGATTACCTTGCAGATCTACTCAAAGTTCTTACATTTAAGATCAAACTTGCCAATGGTCGAGATGTAAAGTTGGTTATATCAACATTTTTATTAATTTGGCTTCCTGTTTTTTTCTATATACAAATTATAGTCCAAAAGTAGCATTATTTTTGTCAACAGAAACTCTCACCATAAAGCACGTTTTCCAAAATATCAGATCTGAATATAGTTTCATGTAGTTTGGTGAAATGATAAGAAACATTGAAAATGTACATATTTACCTCAATTGTCCCCCCATTAGATATTTCCTGCAAAGCAAGATAGTCAAACAAATGTCATTAAACTGTTGCAGTTCTTAAAATAATAGTAATAGTAGAAATTACAATCATATGCCTTATTTCCAAAAGGTGTTGCAAGTTTCTTTGTAAGTTGCTTTGGATAAAAGCATCAGGTGTTATTTTATATATATATGTGTGTGTGTGTATGTGTGTGTGTGTGTGTGTGTGTGTGTGTGTGTGTGTGTGTGAGTGTGTGTGTGTATGTGTGTTTTATAGATATATTTCCTGGATATATTACCTCTAAACTGAGATTTTTATGTGGCCGGTCTTTCATGGCGTCCTGCAGGTCAGTGAGCCAGGCCTCCATCTCCGTGCTAAAGGAAAGGACATATCATTTAAAAATCCAATACCAAAATCAAATAAAAAATGAAAATAGAAACACTTAGCCACGATTTAGTGTGAACAAAGTCATTATCGGATGATAGACTGTAACTAAAGGGGAAAGCAGCACTATAATTTCTTTATGATTGTTCAAACTCTAAAAATAGTAAATGGGGAGCTGTACGGGGGCAAGTGCTTTATGAGGTGCTGTGAAAGTGTCAGTGAAGGCCTTGAGTGGAAGACTGGCCCTCCCAGCTGTGGACTGAATCATAGTTGGACCATCACGGGCTTTCACGTTAAGGTCATTTATATAATACCACACAACTGAGAAATAAACAATAAACTTGAAAAATATTGAACAATTCTGTGCTTATATATCTAATTTGACAGAATACTGGTATGGCAAATGGAAAGCAGTTGAGATCTATTTAGAAATGTGCTTTAAATATTCAACAGTTTGTTACATACCCACAAACTCAACCATTATGGCTTCAAGGAATAACATTTGTTTTTAAATCTCTTGTATGGTGTGCAAAGAGTTTTTTCAAAAAGAAGAATGCTGAAAAAGAATGCAGGTTAATAAAAGATCAGAGATAAATGTTAGTAGAATGTAGAAGTTGCCTGACCTGGTCATTCCAACCAAGAAATAGTCCCGCTCGGCAGCTTTGATGTAGATTACACAGTCTGAGGAGCATTTGAAGTTCTTCTGGACCCATCCCCACTTATGGTGATGTTGCGGGTTTCCATACAAAAGGGATATTCTGATGAAAAATATATATATACATGGAAGAGAATGACTTTTATGTTACAAAAAAAGGGGGGAAAATATCCCATGAGCAAAACAAAAATCACATGGATAGGGTCTTTCGAAATAAAATCATGGAAAGATGGGCAGAGACATAATGTAATTTTCATTATATGTACAATGTAAGGACGTACTGTGACATGTCTATGCTTCCAACTGGACTGTCCAACTCCTCTTGACCCTTGAAGTACCTGAACTGGTATTCATATTGGCTGATTTTGCTGAGGACAAAATAACGTTTCTTCCATGATTTCTGTAGAAAACAAATAATAAGATAAGTAACACCCAGTAATAAACAAATTAATACTAAGACCGAAAAAAGCTGCAAAAGATTCCAACCATAGCAAAGACAGTTACCTCTGTCTTCAGCCGCTTTTGAGGAGGAGACTTATACAAGTATCCAGATCTGATTACTGTTGCTCCGGTGGATTGCTTGTAGAACACTGCTTTTCCTGCAGGACAAAAGAAAAGCCCATTGTTTGATAATCGTTTGCCTGAAGATAGGCCATGTACACATGCTTCTTCATTCCACCACTTTTAAATAGCAAATCACCATTAGTATGTGGATAAACTAAAAAATACCAGCATCACAAGTGTAACAAAATAAGGTTTTGTTTTGTCAGAGCAATGTTTGTGTTTTGGCAAGTTTAGATGTGTTGTTTTTTCTGTGTTGATAAAAAAATGATAAAAACGTGCCATTGCTCATGTAAATATCTATATAGAAATAACCATAGAAAACAGCCACAATGATATTTCCAGAAGCTATACAATACCTGTGTTTTTCTGGCCCTTGTGCATTGTGCAGCCACACCTGAGCCAAAAATAACGCGGGGGTCGATCACTGTCCTACACTTCCAAACAGCATAGAAAAAGTTCCCTGTTAGACAATGTACAATGAACAGGCTAAAAATAGGCTAACGCATGTGTGGAAGCTAAGCTCAGTTCTAAACTCACAAACAAAAGGCGCACTAACGTTAATCTCTTCAGGGTCAATTAATAAACAATTATTCCAGAATTTTAGTAAAATAATGCTCTTGCATGTTATATATCAAATGACATACGTTGATTAACAAGGAGGTTCAAACTCACAAGTTGTGTCACAGATTTAAAAAATTGGATGCATGAAAAACATTCAACTATGAAAGTAGATAACATTCTTACCTCTGCAGGAGGTTTCCTGTCGCTTTGGTCTCTCTGACAAAAGACTAGCTGCACAAGGAAGTTGGTTGGTCTCTTTAACCGGGCAAACAGTGACAGGATAATAAAACTGGTGTTACTGGTTTATCCCTCCTTCATCATCAGCTTGCTAATTCAGTAAATTGTGAGAGGTCTTAGCGGGAAACTTTAGGGATTTCCCTTTACAAATACTACATTCTCAGCATCACTGTAATGTGCATATTTCTATGCTCTGTGAAGTAGGACAAATCTGCCATTGTCTTGATTTAAAAGCAATGATTTGTTTAGTTTAACAAGGCACTCAACTGCGACAAACAAACAAAAAGCATTGCCTTCAATCGCACTCAGCATGAGCTGTGCCAACTGAAAACAAATGACCTCACACTCACAAGCAGGAGACAAGAGGATTGTCTGATGCCAATAATCTAGCATCTCTTAATAAGCACGTACAATTCATTAGTGAAAGCTCAAAGCAAAATGTCAACATCTAAATGTCACAAGTAAAATGCATTTACTAACATTTTAATTTTGAGACTGATTTTAATCTGCTGCGCTCTTCACAATTGGACCAGTAGAACAATCTGACTTTTATCTACAGCACAATGCTGTTCTGATAGATGTAATGTATTTTATAAACTTGCCTTACTTTTGATATTTGCTTTATTCTGCTCTGTTGTGTTAAATAGTAAATGCAGTTTTTTGTGAAAATTGCATTTTGGTGTGTCTCCAAAGTTGCTATTTGGGCAACTTTTATTTTTTTATTTTTTTTTAAAATGTTTTAACAAATTTCTGCTGTATATGAAGCATCAGTGTAGTAGCAGATGGAGGCATGGGACCCTGCTAACCAATTTCCTTGCTTCCAAGCCCTGTGAATACAATATGCGATATGTCAGGAGGAAGAGGAGACGGGTTGGTGTGAGTCTGAACTGCCAGAGTTATTAGTATTCTGTGCAGTCTGTTCATTCTGTGACGTTGTGTGACTAAACCTTGACGTCATTAAGGGAGTCGGCTCGTCGTCCGTTTGATGTCTCTCTACTTGAGCTTGAGTCAGATGCAGGTGGAACAGGTTGCAGGTTGTGGCAATTATTTTTAAAGAGAACTGCCAGAGTTATTAGTATTCTGCAATTTTAAAGAGACATCAGCATGGTGGATTTACGACTTCGAAGGTGAAGATACACATATGTGCACTTGGTATATTTAGAAAAACTACCGTTTGGATTGTCCATGACCCACAAAGCGCCATCCGTGTCTCGAAAACTTCAAACACTCCTTCACACTTGTGCATGTAGGTCACCCCCCCACACACTCTCACGCACACACACACACACACACACACACACACCGAGGTCACAGTCAGTTTGATATTAATAGACCTCTTATGGGCCTCTTATAGGCCATGGAATATTTTGTTCTGCAAGTTTGACAATTTGCCCGTCTGTTTGTCCTTGTCAACTCTGAATTTTGCTTTCTGTCCCTTGTCTTCAACGTTAAGATTCATGATCCCTCCTCAACAAACCAAGGGGAACACTGGCAAGACCACCAGGACAATGGCAGCAGATATCCACCCTGCCCTCCCCCTCCTTCACCTCTGTGGCATGCCTATAAAAGCCCTTGTGACTGAGCTGTCACTTGTCAGTGGAGTCTCATCTGCCCTTCAGTACGGAAAATGAATAGTGAGGTTGGTGGAAAAGCCACAAGAGCTGTAAGCACTTTGAGCCCTAGTTAGTCTTAAACATAAGACTTCAGAGATAGCGTTCACTCTTCTCTCTGATTTCCTCCTGTCTGCATGTCTGTTTGTCTTGAAGTCTATTGAGATGTTCCTCACGTTTTTCTTCTTGTGCATTTAAAAGGAAACGTTGCTAAGATATCAGCAGCACCTGCAGAGACAAAGAGATGCTGTTGCTTTCAGGATGAAGAAACTGGCTGCCAAGCAGGCGGAGTTAACAGTAAGTTCGTTACGCTACTTGATTATCATGTATTTAGATTCCGGTAAGAAATCGCTTGCTGACATCCTGATTACAGACTTCCTCCCTGTGTGTCTGAAGACGTTCAAAAATCTCAATCATGAAAAATGTTGAAAATAACATTACATTTGTCAAGTAGTTTGACAAATAGAAAAAGTTATGGTACGGGCCAACAGAACATCAGTCTCTGCAGATCCTCAAACATTGTGATCTAAAACATCCCCAAGGTCCACTGTCATTCTCTATAGATTTCAGACGCGCAGAGAATGCTTCTGTGGGATCATAAATCTTCCTATTTTTTACTCCGCTGTGTTATATTTTGTTTTTGTCATGATTTAAGCCTAGTGGGTGTCCTTGTGCTGCTGTGGCGCATTTCAGTGAAGGTTAAATAAGTTATGAATTAGAAGTGTCCTCTTGTATATCTGACCTTTTTCATTGTCTTTGTAATCATACTGGCGCTGTGCACTTTTGATCAACAACTTCAACACAAAAAAAAGCTTGTATTGCTCTTGGTTGATTGCATTGTGTGTGCTGCTTTTGGGCCTGTCAGGACAGAGTTGTTCTCCAACAACAATCAGTTAATGAACTGCTCGCTCTTGCAGTAGACAAATGAATGTGCAGTCGTACTTATTCAAAGCTCACATTTGGGTCTCATGTGTGGCTTTTGGCAATGGTTTTCATCGAAAAAAATAATTATTCTGATGTTGACTTTTCATTTAAGGAAAACTAGGTGCCCTTGAGTTAAACATCCAAAGCGATTCCTACATTCATCATAGCAGCAGTTATGTGGGCCTCAGTGGCTGGCATACTTGGAAAAGAATAGCTGACTGTTTAATTGTTCCTGGCTCCATTCCATAACCATCAATCTATCTGTCCAAATGTACAAACTCATATTCTGACCTTTCACGGCCCATTCAACTAAGAAAAAGACAGACATGGCGAAGGAGAGGATCAAGAAGAAGTATGAGGACATGAAGCGGGTGCTGGACGAGGACCTGCGGATCACCCTGGCCCAGCTGGACACGGAGCACGAGGCCACGGAGAAGGTGGTGGAAGATAAGATCGAGGACTGCTATCACCTCACTCAGGAACTGGACCAGCTGCTGGCCAGCATCAGCACTGTGGTGAAAACACAGCAGGGTAACATACAGGTGAGCACAGGGATTCTTCTTTAAAATGTGAATTCTATCTGCGGTATAAAGCTTTCAGAGCGTTACATATAACTTCCTTTGTTCTTTTCAGCAAAATGAAGAAAGAGACAAAAGGTATGAAGCTCTCTGCAGAACTGTGTTTTGTGATACTCGTGTGAGATTAGGCATGACACTCAAATAGACCGGTGATAAGTGTAACAATGAACACGTGGCTTCCCGGCATGCAAATGTTTTTTTTTGTTTTTTTTTGTCTGGGTAAATACCAGATACACGTCCAGTACCAGCTCCCAGCCCTCTATCATCAACACAAATGAATGTATTAACATTCTTACCAAATAATGCTTTTGAACTAAAACAACAGTATTTAAATGTAAACTTGTTTCATTGCTAAATGGTCAGCCTAAACCTATTCTGTCGTGATTAGGATCTCTGAGACTCTTAAACTGACTGACCCTGACCTGATTCAGATGGATGAGTTCAAGAACGACCAGCTGCTGAGTCTTACCATCAATCTGCTGCTCTTCATCAGATCCCAGGTTCCCGTCACCAAGAAGCTGTTTCAGAGCTGTGAGTTCCCCCAGACAGACAGGTAGATCCTGTGAATGAGCTCAGGACACGGGCGGAGAAACCGTTTGGAACGATGTAAACATAATGGGGAACACACAACAAATCCCCCCCAATTGAGATTTGCCGATTTCCACAGATGCATCAGATGTTGTCCTGGACGCGGACACTGCCCACCCTAAGCTGATCGTCTCTCCTGAGGGGGACTCGGCCACGTACACAGAAACCTGGCAGGACGTCCCGGAGACCCCCTCCCGCTTTGACACCACCTTAAACGTCATCAGCCAGAGCGGGTTCAGCGACGGCCGCCACTACTGGGAGGTGGAGGTCAGCGGGAAGACCTACTGGGAGCTGGGACTGACCTACCCAAGCATCCCCCGCCAGGGCCGCGAGGAGGACTCCTGGCTGGGCCGGGGCAAAGAGTCCTGGTGCGTGGAGTACTTCAACGGAGACTACACGGCGTGGCACGGGGGCGTTCGGCACGAGCTGCCCCTGCTGGCGGGGAGACAGTTCACCCGCATCGGGGTTTTCTGCACCTTCCCCGGGGGCCTGGTGTGCTTTCTGGGTGCCGATACCATGACACCCCTCCACTGCTTCTGCGCCGGGACCTTCACCGACAGCCTACATCAGGCTTTATGTCCCGGTCACGATAACGAAGGCACAAACTGGAAGTCTCTCAAAGTTTGTGACGCCAAACGATCGCCTCCTGTTCTGTGAGGCAGAAAAAGAAAAGGGAGTTGGTCAGGAATGTGTTGTGCTGGGGGGCATGCGCATCAGCTGCTCCAACATTTTTAACTCGTGACACGACCTGAGCACTGGCCACTGCGCCTGTCAGGCCGGTCTAAATTTGCTTAAAAGAATTTTTACAGCATCTCTATTTTAGATGTTCAGATCATGACGTTTATTTGCAGTCAGTTTCCTTTATAGTGAACAGGTCATATCCACTCCAAATATCTGATGAGGACTCTTTTTTTTAACAGGTTTAGATTAATTTCTTTTGGTGAATAACACTTCATTTTGAGATGAATACATGCATAAACAAATGATTAAATGTAATGTTGCAATGAAAAAGTAAAATGGTCTTAAAACTTTTATTAAGTTGTTTTATTTTCAGTGCCTTTAACAATGAATCAATGAAACCATTATTTTTAGCATTTGAAAATAGGGTTCAACTTCTATTTTCAAGTATCTTCCTTTTATTGTGTCAGAACAAAAAAAAGCAAACAAAAACATAATTGTTCCTACAGATCAGTCTGTGAGTATTAAAGTGCAAAGAACATGCTCAGTTATGGTTTTTATTTAGGGGGTGTGTAGGTGCTTTATTGTTAAAAAACCCCCAAAACATTTCCCTTATATTTTCAATTTGTAAAACAGCTCCTTCCTCTTTGTTTGGCAGGTGCCAAACAAGCTTTCATGGGAAGAATGATGCAAACATGTTTCATGGTGATGTCATTAAGTAAAGGAGGAAAAACCTGAATTACAGACAAATTTTTTCGAGACACTCAGCAGATGGGTATTTCCTGATGTACAAGACATTAGCATATTGAGAGGGAAAACAACCTAATCTACCAAGTAATACTTGCAGATTTGGGAGATTGTGTCCAGCCTGGGACACATAAGATATTTATGGCTGATATGAATTCATTATAATGTCTTATAGGATTTGTCCACCAAAAGAAAAATCCACTTGATAAAGTCCTCTAATTCCTGGCAAAAAATAAAGTTTGACTGCACAAATAATAAACTGAGGTTTTCATTATTGAGTATCAATCACAAACCTTCTTCAGAATGTTCAAACATTCCAGAAAAAATGACACACACTTCATAAGATGATAACTTCTTAAAGTTTAATACAAGAAAATGTTTACATTTGCCTTCATCTGTTTTAAAGTTATTTAAACAATGTATTGCCCCAAATAAAAAATTGGGCCAGATTATAATTACTGTAAAATTAATTCAATTTTCAAAATCTTTTCAAATATATTCCTGAGGACAACAGCATTTAACACCGGAAAGCATTAAAAGATTTTTCCCTTCCTTCATATCAATTCCAAAACAAGTGGAGCAAACATTTCTTTCAGGCCGGGCACCACATCACTGATCAGAGATCTGCATGTTGAAATGAGTTAATAGTTTTGGCTGCATTTTACAAGAACTGGGGATGCCAGTACTGATCTCACACCTGGCACCCGTCAAGTGAATGTGATCAAAAAAGAAATAAAAAGACTGATAAAAAAATATACAAAGCATGAAAAGAGGAAAGCAAAAATAATAAACCAAATATGATATCTGATAGCTGATATCCCTCCCAAAGGATCTGACACGAGAAATCATGTGAAAAATGAAAAGTACATTGTAAGAACAGTAAGAGTGCATATGTGTGTGGATTGTGTAAGCTCAGACTGGTCACTGCCTGGAATAGCTGCCTCTGTGACTGACAGACTGCGGAACAATATAACAGTATGTCTGTGGAAACACTCAACAAACAACAACAATTGTCTATGATATATATATATATCTATCTTAGATTAATCACTTTAAAGATTTTAAGATCATACAACTCAATCATAGTAATCAGTTTATTAAATTATTTGGCATTGAGTTTTAAAACATGCCGAAGTGCACTAAGTGCTTAAATATAGAAGTGCTACTTTTTAATTAATCCTTTTGTTCTTCTCAATCTAATTTTAGAGAAAAAATTAAGTTTATAAATAAAATAGCCACGCCTTACTTGGTACCTGTTCACTAAATAGTGTTAAATGAGAAGACAATTTACAACAGTAATATACAGTGAAATAATGCTGCGTTTGTGCTTTGGGCCACAGTTCAGCTTTAAACTATAATATTTCCAATGTTTATGACACAGTTTTAGACACTTAAGACAACTGAGGTTGTCTGTCTAGTGTTTTTTTATATCATTCAGCAAAATGGTTTTAAAGAGGAATACCTAACAGATAAAAAGGAAAAAAAAGTAAATTCATTCATCTGATTTGGACTCTGGTTAATAAAGAAGTGCACAATTTTGACCGCATGCAATGACATGAAGTTCACTTTTACAGGTTTGGACATGCAAGTGAAGACTTCACAATCATGCTGGGACGTCCAGCAAAAACTGCTAATGGTCTTTGCTATGCACTTGACCCAAAGTCTCCTAAAACTACACATCACCACACAGCAAAAGATCACACCTTCCTAGCACTACGTATATGAGATGACCTAACATGACATTTACCCACTCAATGGGACGCTGAAGATCCTGAGGATGCCATGGTGCTGCCACCCACTGTAACTCGCTAGAAAGGCTGAGACACTGAGCCTTTGGCATAGTGTTGAACTGTTTGGAGTGTTGCCTTTTTTTGTATTTTCTCTTTTTTCTTTTTGGGCAGCTGAATTTGTTAAAAAATAATTAAATAAAATGAATGAGGTAATTAAATTATATATAAAAAACAGACAGATCTGAAAATGAGTCTATCCTCTTTAAGCATTCACTGCATAAAATGTGTTCATTTAGGTCATTAAAATGAAAAAAGTTGTTTTTTTTGTCAAATAAGAAAACTAACTTTTGCATAGTTTCCCTTTTATTTCACTGTGAAGCAGTGCACTTCTTGGACAGAATCTCTGAGACTCTGCTAATACATGGCTATATCTTGGCTCTTAAAGCGTACAACTGTAAGCTTAAGTGTGAAATCCCCTTGGAAACATTGAGGAAGAACAAAAACGAGGTGGCAAGATTTTAGATTGTTCTTGTCTGTGTTGTCCCAGGAAATGGAATCTATCTGAAAATAATCTATGGTTTAACCTGTTTCTGTTCATTTCTACAGCTAGAGAGAAACAACCAGCGGTGCGAGAGTTCTAGCCTCCTTTATTCTCCCCTGACAAATTTGAAAAGCATGTTTCAGGTCCTATTTCCTTTATTTTAAATGGAACTTTTCAACATTAACAATATTTTTTCAAATGTTTTTATATTTTGCATTTTGCACATTCCATACGACACAGCAATTGTCTTATTAAAAATAACCCCACAAAATCAGGTATGCCTTCATCTCTTAACGTTCAAACATAATTGAATTATCACTGATTATAAATGGGCATTTTGTTAAATATACTGACTTCTGAGATCTTGTTTTTTTGTCTACAGCTGTGTCAGGTATTGTATTGATGCCTTCATTTGGATACAAAGGCTGAAAGTCGAATCTGATCCCCTGTGCTCATTAAAGATGCCTTCTGGTATGTTTTCTACCACAAGTGCGAGCGCTGTGAGGTACTGTCCACTTGTGATGGACAGCACAGGCTGCGTGTTAAAGTAGTGTGCCAGAATCCCTGAGAATAGCCAAAGTTTACTTTACTTTTCTTTCTTTTTTATGCCAATTCAAGTGTTTTTTTAACTGTTTGCAAGTGCTGGAAAATGGAGAGATACATATTCAGATATGATTCCCAAACCCACAAGAACTGGCAGCTTATTTTATGGGTTGGTGGAATAACATGTATATTTCACAATGTCTGTCGACAAGGATCAGTTCAAGCCAGGAAGAGAAGGAACTTGAAGATTTTTCGCCATCAACACATGAACGCGGAGTGTAACGGTTTGTTTTTCTTACCACAGAGTGCTTGAATTCAGGCCCAACATCACATGTAAAAATGTCCTCTCTCCTCCGAATGCGTCGTGTCCTGCCGGGCCTGAATCATCCCTGAATGCTTTGTCTGCTTTGTTGGTCGAATCAGTCTGGTCGGTCAATAAGGCAAGTCTTTTGTCTTATGGTACGAGTGAGAAGTCAGTTGAAATACAGTTCTTTGGTCAGCATAGAAACCACACAGGGGATCTGCTTCTTCTCACTGAAGCGTGGGTCTTCAGACCAGGATTCAAAGCATGTGGCCACCATGTAGTTGACCCGTGTCAAGATCTGCATTATCTCCAGCTGCTTGCCAAACTCATTGAGGACATTGCAGAGAGCCTGGACAAACCAGGAGCCCCGCCCAGGGTTCCTCCAGGAGTAATATCCTAGAAAACAACAGTCAGCTCATAATGCAAAGTGAACAGAATACCTCACTTCAAGCTTTGTTTTATTAGGAAATTGAAAAAGCCGTTTACCTGGCACAGTGGAGTATGCAAAGAGGAAATCTGCTTCGACGGGGATCTTGTGTCTTGGATTAGCATCCGTCTCTAAGGTATCATTCGGTGGCCCCGAATCTGTCTGTATACCATCGTCAAATTCAGAACCCCGACAAGCCTGGTGAAGGACATGAGATGATATTCACTAAGGTGACCAGGTGATCATGTAAAGCCAATCTAACTTTTTATTGTTTTTGAGAAAATGGGATGAACTAAGTGTAATTAAAAAAGACTTACCTGGATGAAGAAGAGTTTGGGCTTCCCCACTAAGCTTTTGCACATGTCTCCCCTGAACAGCGATGTCATGGTCTTGATGGGCATAGCTCCATCGGTGCCGTAGATCATGCCCTCTTCCCCGTGGCTGAGCAGGATACAGGCGAAACAGGAGCTGTCACTGTGGTCTTCCTCCGAAGCTGAGCACACACACAAACACTGAGCTCTTAGATCCTCGTTCCTTTAGATCCTAGCCAGGTAGGATCTTAGGAGTTTCATTTACATAAAAGTACAAAACTATAACAGTAAACCAGATCAGTTTGACACATTCTAATTAAGTAAAACCTTTACATCAGCACCATCTGCTGCCTGACTTTGTGTGGTGATTACTTTAAAAGTTGTACCAATGATACAGTGTAAAGCTTTCTAACACTCTTTAGAAACTATATATATACACACACACACACATCACACATATATGTATATATATAGATTTAATTTCTCACAATTCTAAAGGTTTAATTTTAGGCATAAAATATTAAAATAGCTTAAAGAAGGAACTAAAATACAATCGGGAAAATATAGTAATTTGAAACAAAAGAGCTAAATATTTCCATGTGAGCAACATGAAATAACAGAGTACAGCAGAACTCACCCTCTTTGAGAAGACGCTCCATCTTCTCACAGGTTTGATCGTTATAGATGAAAACATCAAAACCCAGGCTCTTGAAGCACTTGAACAGCTCACCGGCATCTCGGTCAGTGCCATTCCGTACGTTCATCCCTGTGGACACAGCATTCTTAGAACAAATTGTCTTTTCGCATTGTCAAATAAGTTTTTTTTTCTCTCCGCCAAAAAATTGTGTAACATTCCCAAAATCCAGTAGCTGTAAAAAGCGATCCATGAAAAATATTTGCTATACCTGTGTTTTCATCAAAGTTCTTGTTGTTGATGATGATGCACTTCCCCACTCGTTGGTGGCTCATCTTATACTGGAATGTTGGTGAAACAATTCTGTAATGGCTTTCAGAAGAGTAGTCCTGCTCCCGCGTCTGGCCATCCTTATTCTTCTTACTAACAGGGCCAGAAACAAAAAAAACAACAAAAAGGAATGTAACTTCTTTACAATACACATAACTGAAAGAATAAAAAAGGGCCCAAAATATAAAGAAGTCCTGAGGTAATTTAACTTTAAAAAAATAATTTGAACGAAGCAAGTCTGTATCTCCTTGAATATATGGTGATAAAAAATTAAATGAAGACTCATTTCCAATTTGGCCTGCGAACTCAGAGAAAACCTCCATAAAGTTGACTCTTACCAGATGTCATAGCACCTTACAGGTGAAAAGTTGTTTAACAAATATTCTTGGCTCATTTTACATCTCTCAGGTGGAAAGTATTTTTCATCTAAATGCAAAGACTTCTAAAAACACGTATCACACAAGAAACTCAAAACAGCCTGAACCACTTACTCAGAAACCAAAGCAAACATACATTTTCAAATAAGGCATTAATGTCACGGCCAAATCTGGTTGCAGTAATCCACTGTCGGGTTAAAAAAAATGGAACTAGAACATTTTTCCTTGGCATGGGTATCAAAGGCCATGTAAGCACATGAATGAACGAGAGGAAGTCTTCCACTAGAGGCAATTCCAACAGACCTTTCATATTTCCATTCTTTAAAAGATCCGTCCCGATCGCCAGGCCAATAGTGGCCCACTGGCGGCTCAAAAAATCCCAGCTTGTTCCAGAAGAGCCTAGTCATCAGGTTACTAAGGGACTGGAACAATACACAGCAACGCACAGCAGCACTCTCACACTTGTACACTGACAGGTAGTCCGGCCACACTCTATTTAACATGTGATCCAGAACATTTGAAGCCCCCCCCCCCCCCCTCCCTTCTGCAAAGTGTGCCAAAGCATGACACCAAACAATCGCATGTAGGTGGGCAACAAGCCGAATCCCTGTTTTACTGCGAGCTGGCCAGCAGGACGACAGTCAAGAGGAGCTAGAGTCCATCTTACCTGGGTTGGTCAAGAAGGGCGACACCACTCTGCATCTGAAAAGCCTTGGTTCAATCTTTTCCGTTTTTGTCCCCCCCCACAAGAATCATTCATAAGATTCTCCAGACCTAGTGGCTAAAACGGGATGCTCTCTGTACTAGACGGAGACCTGACTGGTCCTGCGGCTGCTGAGGACAAGGGCAGCACACCGCCAGCTCCCTGAGTCAGCAGCCTCTCCAGCACGCCAGCGCTTTCCACATTCACACACAGCCCCGCGCCCCACTGCCCGCTGAGGTCAGGCAGGGCAACAAGATGCTCCCCTGCTGACAGGCAAAGAATCCACCGCTTCAGATAATATCATACAATTCAATAAGGACGTTTTCACTGAATAACTTTCGGCAAAAATCACTTAACACAATAAACAACTTATAACTCAGTATAAATAACTTTGGCTCAATCCAAACCACTGACACCAACAAAAAGAGACATCTACCAGCCTGCAGGAGTACGAGCATATTACTGACTTCAATTTGACCTCTTATAGTGCTTATAGGGGAGCGCGTTTCAACAGTAGTTGCCTAACAGTAGTTCCCTAACAAAACTGCCCTCTCACAGCGAGATTAAGCAGTTCTTTTAAGGACTGAAAGGTCAAGGAAAGTGCTGTGAGACTTCCAAATAGGCTGCTAATGTTTTTGTTTTTTTTGTCAGCTATGAAAGAGGCAAAGAATGGCTGAAACTGTGCCCAGCAGAAGAATAAGAAATCTGTGGTTTTATTGTGTGAAACTATAATCATGGACATCAACTCGGGCATACTGGAGTTCATTTTTTCTAGATGAAACAGGTGATCAATTCTTGTCTGTTAGAAAGGTACAGAGTGCCACCTTGTGAGTGAGGATGGAACAAGCAGTCCAAACGTGAGTTATAGACAAAAATGTACACTTTTAAACATAAATAGGGCATTGTGCTTAGTCGAATGCTAAATCCGCCTATCCTCTTGCTCTAGATATGCTTTCATGCTGCTTGATCTTTTATAATTAGGTTGGCTAAAACTGGGTCGCTGTTCAGATCATGGGAATACACTTTGTCGTTTGGACTAATTTTGGAACGGTTTCGATCTTGTGATGAATTAACTGATTTGATCTATCTCTGTTTGCAAACACAGAAAAGAAAGTTACCGTCCAAATAGCAGAAATCTCCCTCCACGGTCGGGTTTGGCATCTGTTTGGTCTATTTCCTCAACGTCCTCTCCAAGTTCAGTTGGATCAACAGGTTCTCCTGCCATCTGCAGATGACAAGTCACACGGCATTTTTTAACCTCAATGACTGTGCTACTTTACTTTTAAGAACCATTTAGCATTAGCAAAACTCAGCATAACTCCAACAGTTTCTTCGGTTCCTGTTTTCGCGGCTCACAGCTCAATGTTTTCAAAACTATGACTTATTACATATCTATTAACGTTCCGTGTGTATTTAAAATTTTGAAACAGCCAGACGTGCAATAAAGCTACAACTTATTCTGATAGAGAGAAATACTTTAGCGTTACTTTTATTTCTATTTAGCTTACATTTATTATGTTCTTTACGGACCTCTGTCAGATTACCTTTAGCAATAAAAACTGACTGTGACAAGACCGTCCTTCTTCGAATTGTCGATGACTTTCTGTTTCTTGAGTCTTAAAGTGAAAGAACGCATAACTTTACGTCCGTTTTTGTACGTAATTACGTCGCCACACTACGTGACAGCGGACCCGACTTCCGGACTCAGTCTATCTGCGCGTGCGTAATGCGTGGGTTGCGTGAACTTCTGCGTACATGTATGTGTAAAACATTTGAACTAACCAAGCATTTTGTGCCTAACTTTGGATGCCTGCAAACTCAGAGGGTGTCCTACTAATCCTTGCATATATGTGTTCGAATTATCAAACACTCATGGCCAAAACTATATACATGTACAGATCAGTTTTAAAAGTGCAAGAGGGGCTTGGAGACACATTACATGTTTCAATATTGGGTTAGCTCTAAAAGCAAAATGCGGCCTGCTATTTCATTTTTTATGTGGGAAGTGGTGGCTCTACATAAACATCTAGTATAATTGGATTCTCTTGCTGTCAGTAGTCAAAAATTGTATTCTACCACCCGACTAGATATCTTTCTTTGTTAGTCTGCTGGGTGCTGCCATGTCAGTTTGCCACTGATTATTCAGTTATCATTTTAACTCTGTGCCTTACAGATATATATTCTTGTAAATACATATTCTTCTTGTAACAATACATTTTTGTTCTGCTAGAACTTTGTAAAAAAAGTATTCTTAGCGGAAAAAACAAATATATGAGCGATTAAAATATGATGCTGATTAGAACACACTCTCATTCATTTTCTTTAATAACTGTTGTCATTTTGAGATACAAAAAAAAAGCTATGGAAAAAATACATAATAAATAAATCATCTCCAGTAGTCATATCTCTTTGAGAGACCTTGGGATGTGACAACCTGCATGCACTAGATGGTGCAAAGGACTTTGTTCGGTTAGAGATGAATTAACTCCTGCTTGCCACGCATGTTTCAGATTTTCCCCTCAACAAACATGACATCAAAGGGCAGTCCTAGCGATAAAATCAAAACTTTGTCTAAAGTCATAGACTAAGACACTTAAATGAGATGGTGTCATAGGTGTTTTCTGTCACAATGGGAGCGGACAGTCAACTAATAAATGACATTTCCAGCAAATCAAGTTGAATTATGTTATCACATTGCATGTGTGACCATAGGTACTGTAACTAAACAAATGACATATGCTGTATATCAGTTTTCTTATTGGTGAGTACGGTAACAGTCACACAAACTAAAGATTAACTAAAAAAATGTGTATTTGACACAGTTGTTTGGCTTTTTAAAAGCACTTTTGCAAGAAAGTGCATACTTAAATTTGGTTTGATTCCTTGTCAGTTTTGTTTGTTGCATTAGGTTCCTCTCCAGAAAACTAGCAGCCAGTTCTTTATCTCCTTAAATGTAATTTATAAGGTTCAGTAAAGACAAAGTAAAACCATTACACAGTCAGTTAAGCCTTTATTATCTTGTAATGTCATGGTAAGACGGCATGCCTAATGTTGAACTGGCTGTCCAGTTTGAACTCATTACACATATTCAGTGACATGTAAACTCTGCCTCTATCTCAGCAGATGGACAGCTGGACTTAGCCAGTCCTGCTGCCTGGGACATAGAAGGGGGCTGATCTACCCTGGGACATGCTATCAAGTAGGTTTCAGTGGTCCTCAGTTTCAGAGCTAAGTTTGCCACAGCCAGAGACACACTAGTAGCAAGTCATTCTGTATCCAAGCTACTCTGTTGCCTGTCTGATTTCTGCTTTTAGTCACCTGTTTTTCTCCTGAAGACTTTTTTTTTTGTTTGAAAGAAGGATACAACTCCACCATGCAGTCTTGTGCTAGGTGTGGGTTTGTGGTCTACCCAGCAGAAAAGATCAACTGCATTGACCAGGTAAAGGCTATTTTGGCGCATTAATTTAATCTAAACATCTTTTATGTATTCTTGAGCTCTGCTCTATTATCAGTCAAATGCATAAGAAATGATCTGTCCAAAGTTATAACATTTCTTTCTTTGAAGTTAGCTGAAGTCATTTTCTCACATAACTAGAACATTAAGCTAATGTGATTTGTGTATTTTTTTTCTTTTTTTGTCAGAACTGGCACAAAGCATGTTTTCACTGTGACGTCTGCAAGATGGTTCTCACTGCTAATAACTTCGTCAGCCACAAAAAGAGGCCATACTGCTCCGTGTAAGTGCTCCATGTCCTCTGTGGGCTTGTGGTTCATTATTAGAATTCGTGTTTGGTGGGGACAGTTTCCCATTCCTCTATTTACAGATGATTTGTAGGGCAAAAAAAAATGTGTTGTCATAGCAGGACACAGATCTGATGTTATTGATGAACTTTTCACCATGTTCTTTCCCACCTGGTCAAAATCGGTAAAAACCATTTGTCTGTGTAATCCTGTCAGGCACAATCCGAGGAACAACACCTTCACCAGTGTTTACGAGACTCCCATCAACATCAACGCCAAGAAGCAAAGCAAGGCCAGCAGTGAGGTGAGATCCCATCATTCGTAAAACCACGGCATGGCACGTGCAAAATACTCCGGCTCTGACTCAGTGGGCTATGTATTGTTGACAGGCTGACATAAGCCGCTTTCTATGCCATAAGTGAAATACTTATCATGGTTTGTCATGACTGTATTTATTTTGGAGGCTGCTTTTTATAGTAGTAATTGATAACAGCATAATGTGCGTGCTCTAGATGTAAAGTTATTCAGACTTAGTCTATTTTATTCCATGGCTTTCACTATGGTATTTTTACATACACATACGTAATACTCAGAAATGTTGTCAGATATTTTTAAGAATTTGTCCTAAGAATTAGTGGCCATATCTATTATTCACAGCGAAAACTACTTTTAAACTCACGCTTACAAATCTGAAGTACTGACCACACACATGCATCCATGACAGTAGAATCAGAAGTGTCTCATTTTCTATTTCTGAGAAGACAAAGTAAAGGTGGTTGGCTGTGCTGCTGTGAGGCCACGGCGATGGCAGGAGTTTGGAATGGATAATGTGGTCCAGGTTATTTCTGTTTCTCTGTCACTGCTTTGACCACTTCATACTTAAGGGAGCTAAAATTGTGCTTCAGGAAAGTCTCCCTCCTCAAATCCTTTCCTATCCTCTGTCATGCCACCTGTTTCTGTCTGTCTGGGCCCGTCTATGTCTACAAGTTCATGTTATGCTCCTGTGCTTATATTAGCAATAGGCTTGCGAGCTTATTAGCTGCTGCTATAAGCCACAAGAGAGATGTAGCACTCAACAAGTTGCTATATATACATATAATTTAGTGTTCAGTTATTATTAATGACCCTCAACCTTATCTGAAAACAAAAAGTCTGTTTAGCTTGCTGCTTTTAGATTTGTTTGTTTCAAGCCAGGCTGTTCAAATGCACTTAGATTGTAGCCTATTAACAATTAACTTTGAGTTTTGAAATAATTATTGCTTGCTCTGCTGTTCCAATATTAGTTTTGGACATATTTAGGCTGAAAGATGATTAGCAAATCGGTCTTGGCAGGTCTGGTTTCATCTTTATTGGAGCATGTCAGTTATTAATAACAGCACAGCGTTATTATCCTTTCCTCATATGCGAGCTCAGGTTGTCTGGGACTATAATAATGTGGCGACACTGAAAATCTGAAGTCATGCTAACAGTTAGGGCAGGTTTTTTTTCTATGTCAAAAGCATTCAGCTTCCAAACTGAATACAGGAGACGTGCGTCCACTGTGTGCATGTGCTGAAGTGTGCTGGCTTTGGCTTAACGCTTGTTGTCCATGTGAACTTGTAGCTGAAGTATCGTGAGGATGGCGAACGCTTTATGTCCACCTTCCACTGTGACATGAGATCCATGGAGCTGGAGAAGGCTCGTCTAGCCAGTCAGATGACCAGCCAGGTGAGCTCCAGGGAGAGCGGCTGGCCATTTCACCCAGTGAGAGGGAGCTCCAACACAAATACCATCCCTTTGAAGATTCTTAAATTAAACACTTAAATGAGTAGTCCTTTAGTTTTTGCATGGTTATTCGGCTTTGTTTGTTTGTTTGTTTTTTGTTGTCTTTCCTAGAATTAGGTTTAGATATTTTAACAAAAAGTACACATTATTCATAAAGCTTTTTATGGTCTTATCTTTCAATCAATTTATTTTATTACGATTTAACAGGCCCGCAAAGCTGTAAATTCCTGAAAAAGTTATTCTCTCTCATTGACTGCTCCTCACTTTACCCCATGTTGCTGACAGATATCACAGATGGGGTTATGTTGGTGTATCAAAGCTCATAAAGAGATGAGGGTTAGAGCAAAGTATCTGACCATGATAAAGGATGTTCCCTAGCAACTGTTTCACTTACTTACACCTCATTTTCATAGATCTCAAATATAGAAATGAATAACCTGAAAGTGGCATAACAGGCACTTTTTAAAGTTAATTCATGATCAATGGTCATGAATTAACTTATCTTTCTTCTCTTTGACATAGATAATGTAAATAATGTCCTAAGAATGACTGGAACTGATGTTTTTGAACAGGCCTTTCAGGCTCAGACAGAGTTCTCCCAGCAGCAGAGCTGGTATTCAGGAATGGTGACCAACCAAGAGATTGTGACTATGTCTAAGTCACAAAATGCCATCAGCGATGTAAGTACAGATAAATGTTTTCCCTTAAGAAATAGTTTCAGTGTTGTGCTGATAGATCCTCAGACAATACAGCAGTGTGGATATGTTATGTGTTATGTAAATGGGTTTAAATCATTCTTACTGCTCAAATGCCCTTATAGTATTTGTGCTTCTGTTGCAGGTGAAATATAAAGAGGAATATGAAGAGGCAAAGGGAAAAGGCAGCTTCCCAGCAATGATCACACCAGGTTACCAAACTGCAAAGAATGCCAATACTTTGGCTAGTACTGTAAGTAGATGTTGAAGAGGTTATGGCCGACGTTTGAGCTGTCTTAATTCACATCAGTCATTTCTCTAAGAAGGAAATTCATATTCATCATTAATCTAAGATGTTATCTCTTTTTCTCAGCTGGAATATAAAAAAGGTCATGAAGAAAGAGTTTCAAAATACACAACATTTGTTGATTCCCCAGAGGTACTTCTGGCTAAGAAACAAGGACAAATTCTCAGCGACGTAAGCATTAAAGGCAGTCTCCCTTAATAACCACGACTGACTTTGCCTTGTTTGGCTAAGATGAATTGGCTGTTTATGTTTTTACAGCTTACCTACACGGAAGAATATGAGCAGCAGAAGGGGAAAGGTAGCTTCCCAGCACATCTCACCCCAGGATACAAGGTTTCAAAGAAGGCAATGGAACAGGCTAGTGATGTGAGTAGAAAAACAAAAATACACATTTACTATATGCATTCCACATTCTCACACATGATGACCACTTGGTATGACATGTTTACCCAGATCAAGTATCGTCAGACCTATGAGCAGGAGATGAAGGGCAAAGCCAGCACTGAGGCAGCAGCTGCTGAGATGGTGCATGCCAGAGAGAATTCAGAGAATTTCAGTCAGGTAATTACCAATTTGTCGTAAGTTTTTGATATCATAACTTGAAAGTTGAAGAGATGCAATTATACACATCCAAATGTGTTTGTAGGTCATATTTGCTTGATTATGGTGAACAATTAATTCAACCTAAAAGAAATACCTCGAAAACGCCTTAATTCCAACACACTTGACACGTTGTGAAATACCGCTGAACTAAATGAAGAAATACCTTTTCAGATTGCCTACACAGAAGAATATGAGCAGCAAAGAGGTAAAGGAAGTTTCCCTGCCATGATCACTCCCGGTTATCATCTTGCAAAGAAGGCACAGGAAAATGCTAGTAATGTGAGTATCATCCTGAATGCAACATGGACATCCATGAGTCTAGAAACACTTGTAAAAGCTGCAATGATCTTTGATGTATAGTTATACAATTGTTTAAAAAAAAAAAAGGGAGACATGGTGATGATGGCGCCATGTGACCCATCTTAAATGTTATCAAAACATTGCACAGCGGTGTGCTCAAGAGCCCCAGGCTCATCCATCATCTGACCTTGTCTTTATTGAGCAGAACAGATGGGGAAAACATTCAGGGGACCCTCCTTTGTCATAACTCTCCAAACTGTCCATCTCTATGCACACAGCCCTACGCTGACACAACATGCACTGAATTCTCTGTCATTCTTTTGCAGTTAAAATACAGAAAGGACTTAAACAAGATGAAGGGCACATCCCACTTCCATAGTTTAACATCGGAAGACAATCTGACATTGAAGAATGCCAAAAAAGCCCACAAGATTTTCAGTGAGGTGAGGCAAGCCATACAGCTCAAGAAGTAAAAGCAGAAACACATACAAGTAGTTGGGGTTTTATAGCTTTTTTGGTCAAATATGTCAGTGTGGCAAATCTTCGAGGGGTGAATGTACAGTGGTCAGTGTTTGTGCGTGTGTGTGTACAGATACATGTGTTTAAGAGCTGGAAATACTGGATGTACTGTGTCAGTTTTCAGCAAACATGAAGCCACCAAACCTGCATTTCCAGCATCCTTGAAATGCCCGCGTGGTGAAGTTGCAGTTTACATTCAAGGCCATGGGACATCCCTTCATACTCATGACACTATAGCTCAAAGAGGAGTGGAGCACCACTCACGAACATCTATTCTCAGCCATGGCAATTTCACATTATGATGTGAAATGTAGACTACATGAAGCTATTTCAACAACTTTTTTTGAACACTGTGTCTCATATAGATGAAATGTTTTCAGTGTAGCGTGTCGATGAGAAGAAGGGAACAGGTTGAATGAAGTCACCATGTTTGTGTTAAGCCCAGCAGACCGTGTTTAAAGCTGTCTGTCTGTGACTGTTGAGTTACGATGGGGAGTTAGCAGTGGCGACTATATGTTTAGCACGCATCGTTATAGAATGTTTGGCACCTTGGTTCCTCGAATGATGTACTCCTAACACTAAAGAAGAAGATAAATCAAGAATGTTACATAGCTGCTGCTTTGCTTTTTACAGGTAGAGTATAAGAAAGACTTGGAAAACACCAAAGGTCACAGCATCAACTTCTGCGAGACACCACAATTTCAAAATGCTGCCAAGGTTGCCAAGTTCACCAGTGATGTAAGTGTACACACACAGAAACACATACGGGACAACATTAGTTTAGCTCCTCTACTTTCCGTCTCAGAGGCTTTGAAAAACGTGAAATTATAAATCAAGTATGAGAAATGTGGTTATATTAGAGTCAGGTAAAATTTTTCTCCATATTCTTATGTCATGTTTTACAGAACAAATATAGAGAGAAGTACACTAGTGATTTAAAGGGCCACTATGAGGACTCAGGAATTGATAAGAGGACCATGCATGCCATGAAAGCGGGGACGCTGGCGAGTGACGTGAGTCTCATTTTAAGTGGATTTATTTATACTGATTCTATTCTGTGTGGATTTATTTTAACAATAAATGGCTATGTTGAAACACTCTTTTTTTAAATAACTATTCTTCTGAATCTTATAAATTACTATTTTAGGAGGCAACAATCCCATTTAGTTTTGATAAAAATATTCATTTTGTCCAAATCTAAATACATCTTTTTGCTATTCTAATGTACTTGTATTTCACCCCTGTTTTAGATTTCATATAAACAAGGAAATGAACAGGAGCAGGGTGACTACAACTATCCAGCCACCCTCACACCTGGTTACCAGAGCCAAAAGAAGCTGGACCCACTGAAAGACGTTAGTTAAAAAAAAAATCAATTCACGCTCAGAGTTACCAATAAGATCAATACTTTAAGTTTCCTGTATGCAAGTGAAAAATATTAGATGTAAAAGATTTGGGAACTAAGAATTAGGGAATCCAATTTTAATTTTACTGTTTTTGTTTGAATCCAACTTTTTTTATTTTTACTGCAGAAGAACTACAGGCAACATATTGACCAAGTCAAATACAAGTCGGTGACTGACACTCCTGAGATTGTTTTAGCCAAGAAAAATGCTCAGCTTGTCAGTAACGTAAGTAGATATTAACACAGGACACATCTGAGGTCTGATTATGAGCAATTTATTTATCTTATAGTGAGTCATTGTGAATGATTTCATTGCTGTGTTGTGTGAGCACATAATCTGTGTGTCCCCCAGTTAAAGTATAAATCCGGCTATGAAAAGACGAAGCACCAGTACACTCTATCCCAGGATCTTCCGCAAATCCAAAACGCTAAAGCCAATGCTGCTTTGTGTAGTGATGTAAGTTCACACAGAGTACCTTTTCTCACTTGTGCATGCACATACCTACCTTCACACGCTGTGCACGCACACACAAAGTAATTTATGGTCAAATCATCCAATTTTCTCAGTCCAGTTGTCATTGACATAACTCTTTCTTGTGGCTCCAGATTAAATATAGAGAAGAGTGGGAGAAGACCAAGTCTAAAGCATGTGAAACCGGTGTAGACGACCTTAGCGTGAAAGCTGCCAAAGCCTCCCGAGACCTCGCCAGTGATGTAAGTAAACATACGCTTGTACCCACTTCAACAAAATGAGACTAGGCTGACATGCAAGTGGCTTTAATCAGATGTATTAGCATGCAAATGAAATTAGATGGTCATGTGTTTCAGATTAAATACAAAGAGTCCTATATGAAAAACAAGGAAACGGCAGTTGGGGTCAACATGAGCGATTCCAAGACAATGCACTCTCTTCAAGTGGCCAAGATGAACAGCAATGTAAGATAACTGACATGAGTAACATGTAATGATAATAATGATAATGTATGTTTTTGCACTTGCATTTATAATATACAATTTGCTATTGGCAAGCCTGCAGTCTACACAGTTAATGCTACTTTCTGCTTCAGATTGAGTACAAAAAGGGCTCCAAGGAAAGTCAGGCCCAGTACAGCCTTCCACTGGACATGATCAACCTGAGTCACGCCAAGAAGGCTCAGGCTCTTGCTAGTGATCTAGATTATCGCACAAAGCTCCACGACTACACCGTCATGCCCGACGACATCAAAGTCCAGCAGGCCAAAAAGGCTTATGCCCTTCAGAGTGAGGTGAGGGAATTATCTCAGGGGCAAAATTCAGCTGAAATTTTTATTTTATTTTAAGGAAACAAAGATTAAAAGAGGGTTGTTGAGATTTCTTTCCTCTGCTCCACAGAACCAGTACCGTTCCGATCTGAACTGGATGAAGGGGGTGGGCTGGGAGGCAGAGGGATGCCTCAACATTACACAAGCCAAGAAAGCTGGAGACCTGCTCAGTGATGTAATTTCATTAGTTAACTTGTTATTATTACTGATCCTCCTGTTGCAACCTCATCCAAGCATTTCAAATTCATTTTCTCAGACCAAATACCGTCAGAAGGCCGACAGAATCAAGTTCACCCACGTGGCAGATGACCTCTCCATCAAACACGCCAAAAAAAGCCAAGATCTACAAAGCAATGTAAGGTCTCATCCCTGAATTTTGCTTTGTATATAATACGTTTTATTATGGTGCCAATCTCACAGCATCATTCTCTCTGATTTTCTAGTTGGCTTACAAAGCAAACACAGAGCAAATCATACACCAGTATACAATGAGGAACGACGAACCACTTTTCAGACAAGCAAAAGCAAATGCTGACCTGCTCAGCGGGGTATGTTTAAAAATCAAATATTTTTTCATTTTTCTGAAATATGTTGTTTGGCAGGAACGATGCTGATTCCCTCTAAGTGGGAGCTATATTTTTCATGACATGGTAGAATGTTATTTTTTATGTTTTCTATATTCTTCTGTAAATAAATATTGGTTTATGAGATTTGCTATATTGCTGCAGTCTGATATAATTTAATTTTACATAGCATAACAACCTTTATGGAAGAGGGAGTTTTGTGTTTGTCCAGTGATGCTTCCTTACTTGACTTGTGAAATGATGATAAAAACAGCACAGTGGTGGCTTTGGAGCATGTCTCATTAACCGTGCCTGGTCACCAGTGCATGATCAGCACAGAGTAGGGGTTTCCCATGTTTTTGCTGTTGAACAGTGAAGCAATTCATACAAATCTGATTAAGCAGCCTGAGAGATGGTTCAACATGCTGCTGTCTCTAGAAATATGAAGCAGAATAGATACAATTTCAGTATTTCAACTTTCCAACCTACTGACCTGTTTTAGTGCATCAAGGATTTATTCCATTAATTGATGTTTAGGAAAAGTAGGTTGGGACTGAAAATGTGTCATTGTTCTTTGAGGTTAAGATTCTTGTCGTGTCAATCATGGTTACCTTGCTTTCTAAAAGGAGACAGTTTAAAGGGTATTTACTGTAATTTGACTACTTTGTTATGGAGATAACCCAATACTCATTTCAGCAATAAGGCATGAGGCAATAAAAGAAAAGCCAGATATCTTCAACTGATTATTACTGCTTGTTGTTGTTGGGAACCAAAGATGCTAATGAAATCTAATTAGATGGAAGATGCCTCTCATTACCCAAGTTTTAGAGACCTGGTAAGCTTTAGATTATTCAATTTAATGTTGCTTAAGATTGTTTTAAAAGGCAACAGAGAAAGAAAAATAAGGCCAAAACTACTGCAGCTCTTTATTCCTCCAGTTCTTCCACTATTCCATTCTGTATATAGACATGTATGGCATGCAGAGGAGATGTATTTTCCATGTTCTTAATTATATTTTTTTAATTTTTAGAAAGTGTACAAGAGTCAGTGGGAGAAACAAAGGGACAAAGGCTTTGAGCTTCGCTTGGACTCTCTGTCTATACTCACAGCCAAGGCAAAGAGGGACTTGGCAAGTGATGTAAGTTGAAAATTTTCATTTTCACATAGGACGGCTCTAGAGATCTTTATAGGATACAAAACTTCTGAATATATATGAAGTTTGGTGGACTCCTGAGGGAGGATCACATTTCTGATTTTTCCCAAGCCGAGTTTAAAACTCACAGACTTTTGATCTAATATTCCCTGGCAGGTCAAATACAAGGAGAAGTATGAGAAAAGTAAAGGCAGAGCTATTGGTATTAAGTCAGTCAGTGACGACTCTCAGATGGCTCACTCTGCTCTGGCCACAAAACTTCAGAGTGACCGATACTACAAAAAGAATTACGAGGACAATAAAGCCAAATACTGGTGAGTTTCTTAGCTTTGATGTGACCTTTTGAACAGTCTTGCTTCATCACACTCAGATTAAAAGTAATTTCTTTGAACGTCTGGTACCATTTTGTAAATTCCAGAATATTTCTCCAATGAAGCCTTAAGATTTGTAATTATTTTACAGATGTCGTGCTCATTCTAGATGACTTGATTTATTGGTTACAGATGACATCAATAAGTTTAGCTGGGGGTCAATTAAATCTTTTAGCCTTAACTGGCAGTCTCTGAAGTATCTTTGCTCTGTGGCGAACTGTGTGCAGATTCCTCAGAAGGGACGGATGGGATGAATTAGAAATCTTCAGAAACTCAAACAGAGATAAAGCGTTCAAATTAAGTTACTTGAGAGGCACATAATGACCAAAAATCTATTGATTTAAGGTTAAAGTTTTTGACGTTGTTTGCGAATTCTTCAGCACAGGTCAGTGGCTAAATAATCTTCAAGGTAAAGAAAACTTCATGGAAAAAATCGTTTTAAGAGGGTTATTTTAAGGAGCATTTATTTTTTATAGATCACATAGGTAGGTATAAATTTAAAGTCTTGCGATGAGGTGAACAAGCACTTGGCTCATCTCCCGAAGACAGTTCAGAGCATAAAAAAAGATGAAATATCTCCTTTTTTAAAACTAGAATACTCCTTCAGTACTCATTCAGCAACACTCCACAATAACTAGATTTTTGGATCTAAACTAATTATCTCCTTGAAATGAATCTCATCCCCAGTGCTTCTCTGGACATGTTGAATATCAGTCACGCCAAAAAAGCTCAAGACCTGGCCACCGAGACCAATTACAGGACTTTCCTCCATGAGTACACCACTCTGCCAACGGACATGAACGTAGCCTGGGCAAAGAAAGCTTATGACTTACAGAGTGATGTATGTCTCATATTCTAAACAACTCATGTAATGCAAAAGGGATTTATTGACCACAACAATTGTTACATTTAAGTGTGTGCTTATTTTTTTTAGAGACAATACAGGTCAGACCTGAACTGGATGAAGGGTGTTGGGTGGGAGGCCTCAAAATCTCTGGATGTTCAACAGGCAAAGAAAGCTGGAGACCTGCTCAGCGAGGTAATCCCCAAATGTTTTACCCAGATTGTAGTGAACTTTAAGGTTGTTCATCTTTCTAAAGATGGAAAACTCTTTACAACTGACTCACCCCTTGTAATTCATTAATATGTCCTTCATTAGGTTGGGAGTCAATGAAACTTAAACCAGCAATCTTGTATTATTTGTACAACCACTCTTAATTTCTATTAAAATCTGTGAGAACTAAGTCAGTGAAGCGGCTATGTGAAAGTGATATCCATGATTGTGGAACATGTAACTTATAGGCTTACTGGTTAATGGTCTTGGCCAGTAGGTATTTAAAGAGCCACAGCTCATTTTTATGCACTACAAACTGGGTTTTTGTATGTGCAGTTCATCTGAACCTTTTTATAATCCACTACTTAACTCCCATAGTTCTCTGTCTTCACTCTGTCTTTCAAACTTGCTCTTTTGCTGTATACATTTAGAAACGTTGTGTAGATACTTCGGTAGTTTTACCTGTAGAGGTTGACGGGAACTTTTTGACTGTGCTGATTTCAACTACATGGTATGCAGCATATGGGCTGCCCCATTCTAAAGAAATCTCTCTTTTTTTAAGGCACACTTGCAGTCATTTAATAAAAAAAACCCTAACTAGTACATGGAGACATGTCCGTAGTGCAGACTAAAGGCATCACACTCTATTCATAACCCCATCACAAGCAGCTACTTATTTACAGGGTCATTCCAGTCAGGGTTACCAACATTAGGTCATGAAATGACAGAGCGAGCACAAATAGAACAGAACCCAGAGTTCCTTATGAGCTTTTTCTCCACACAAGATGCATGCACACGCACTTACTGATATTGACACATGTACTGTACATTGTCAATATCAGTGACTGTGTGTGCTTTCATCTTGATGTTTGTGTCTCACTAGTTAATTTGCTTTTATGTCTTAGCAGATAGCTTATGCGTTTGGACTTTTTTTATATTGTAGTGCCCTCTACTGTCCCTCCAAAAAAGATGTACCAGCTATATGAAGCCCATAGCCCACTGTTAGTCATTTTAATTTAATTAATTTGATTCGTGAACTGTATTAGATTAATTTGGTGTTTTTTTTATTTTTCCAGAAAAAGTACCGTCAGGATGTGAGTGCTCTGAAGTTTACCAGTGTTGAGGAGACACCAGAGATGACACAAGCCAAACTCAGCAACAAACTGGCCATTGATGTATGTTCAGCTTCAACTATGTTACTGTTTCCAAATTAGCAGGAGGTCTTAGACAAAGGCTTACTTATGATGCTGTTATAACCTTAAATGGGCATGAAAATTCTGTTTTTCACAACATGACAAAAAAGTCTTGCAATTTCCCCTTATTGATAGAACTCTCTACCACAAAATTGATTCCACTTATGAATATACCAGTGGTGGAGACTGAGAGATGATAGCTCAAGGTAGTACGTTCTTTTTTTTACAGAGGTTGTACCGGGAGAAGGGAGAAAACATGAAGCACAAGTACACACTCAGCGGAGAGCTGCCTGAGTTGGTGCAGGCCAAGCTCAATGCCATGAACGTCAGTGAGGTAATACACCGTTCATCAACTTAGATCCATTGGACATCTGATCGGAGTATCCAATCAATTTACATGTGGGTTGTTTTCTTTGATACACAAATGTAACTTCAGAGCCGTTACAAGGAATCTTGGACTAAGATACGCGACGGTGGTTACAAGCTGCGTCTGGACGCCATTCCTTTCCAGTCCGCCAAAGCCTCCGCGGACATCCTCAGTGATGTGAGTCCGTTCAGACATATAAAAGCATTTGACTGGGACTGAAAAAAACACTATGGAAAATGTTTCTTCACATTTTCTCATTTCCATGACTTACAAATGTTTCAATTGAACCACTCTAATCCAAAATATTAGGATGTCATTTTATGGTGTAAGCATAACTATGGAAAAAGCATTTAGTGTTGAAATAATTTTTAGCACCATATATCTAAATGAACCTGGAAAATAACAAATGTACCTGGTTACTGTCTATAATTGTAACAGACGTCCCCTCTGTTGCTGTTGTGTTATTTCAGCAAAAGTACAAGGGAGAGTTTGAGAGAACTAAAGGAAAGATGATTGGACTTAAAGGACTACAGGATGACTTGAGCATTGCTCATTCGGTCCATGCCAGCAAACTACAGAGCGATGTGAGTGCTTCTCTGCTTCAGCTGATCTCAGAAAAGTAATAATATATTGGCAAACGCCGTATTGAATTCTCTTATCATTATAGATCAAGTATAAGCAAGACTCTGCAAAGCAGCTCTCTAAGTTCCACCTCTCCATGGACATGATTGAGGTTGCTCATGCTAAAAAGGCTCAGTTGTTGGCCAGTGATCAGGACTACAGGCTCTCTCTACATCACTATACCTCACTACCTGATGACATGAAGGTGCAGGCTGCCAAAAAAGCCTATGCTCTGCAAAGTGAGGTAAGAGGGACTATACACTGCTGCAGTTATCTTTATTTATTTCTGTTACATGTCTCCTCTACTGTTCGATCATGACACAAACTTCTTTGTTTGTTGATTGTCTCTGCAGAGAATGTATCGCTCAGATCTGAATTATCTGCGGGGTGCAGGCTGGATTGCTACTGGTGCTCTGCAAATTGAGGGTTCAAAGAGGGCAACAGACCTCATTAGCGATGTGAGTCATGTTATTTATTTATTTAGCTAAATTTGTCTTCCAAACTCAGAAATGATTTTTTTTTTATAACATGTTGATATCATTATCATATGAAAATCATCTGGAAATAGAAAAAAAAAACAACTACGTCTTTTTCCCTGCCACAGAAAAAGTACCGCCAGCAGCCATACAGTTTCAAGCACACCTCTGTTGCTGATTCTCCAGATATCCTCCACGCTAAGCTTAGTGGACAGATCACAAATGAAGTGAGTCGATTAACATTTTGTTCAAGCTGTTCTTTTTCTAAGTTATCTCCATACTTGTATTCATGTGTGCTATTACTCCCTCACAGCGCTTGTATAAAGAGAAGGGAGTGAATGACCAACACAGCTACACTATAACATCCGAGAGACCAGAGATTACACAAGCAAAGATCAATGCAGCCAACTTCAGTGAGGTACTGTTTGCATGCACAGCCTAATTGTTGTATAAGTTACTAATGTAATGACCTTACCAAAAATAGTTTTTGTCCTATTTTTAGATGGCTATTTTAAAGATTTTGGTATTTTCTCTGCTGCAGATTAGGTACAAAGAGTCCTGGCACACTCTGAGAGCTCAGGGCTACAAGCTCACAATGCAGGACATCCCCTTCCAGGCTGCCAAGAGCTCCACGGGCATTGCCAGTGATGTAAGATGACACTTCATTGTAAACTAAGGGCTCTCTTAAAGATATTGCATTGGTCAATGTAAAAAAAACCTTTGCATTGATCTAACCTCATCTCATTACTTCACAGTACAAGTATAAACACAACCACCTGCTGGACAAGGGTAAACACATTGGGGTCAAAAGTGTCACAGATGACCCGTACTTGCTGCACTGCCTGCAGGCTGGCCGGTTGGCCAGCGACCAGGAGTATCGCAAGGATGCACTGTTGATCAGTGGGAAGTACAACCTCACCTCAGACATGATCCACCTGGTGGCAGCCAAGAATGCCCAGGCCCTGGCCAGTGAGCAGGACTATAGGAAGAGACTACACAACTACACGGTGCTTCCTGATGACATGAAGGTTAAGTGGGCCAAGAAGGCTTACAACCTCCAGAGTGAGGTAAGAGGTGGAGATAGTGGAGGGCAAAAAATACTTTGATAAGACATTGCAACCCATCTAACGCATTCTGTTGTCTTCTATAAAGAAACTCTACAAGTCTGACCTCAGTTTTATGAAAGGAGTGGCCTGGGATGGAATGGGGGCACCTCAGCTGCAATCAGCCAAAAAGGCTGGAGAACTCCTGAGTAATGTGAGTATATTGAGGGGGGATATAAAATTGCACCTTGTCATGACAACGAAAAAAAATGTCTTTGCTCTCTTTTGACTTCCTGTAGGCGCCTTTATAAATCGTCCACCATTTTTGATTAGTTCAAATTTGACTACCTTTTAAAGTTTGTTGCACTGGTTCATGTCCATGTTTGTCTTTAAAGGTAATTTTGTATATATACGTTTTATCTTGATTAAAATATCACCTGTGCACAAATGTTTGCAATGTTACAGAAAAAGTATCGGCAGCTGCCGGACAGCCTCAAGTTTACCTCAGTGGCTGACTCTCCTGATATCATTCATGCTAAGACCAGCTATCAACAATGTAGTGAGGTAGGATGAACACATGAATTTGCTCAAGATAAAATTTCCTTCAGGGCACTACTGTGGAAACTGACGCTGTATATATCTTTGTATGGCCCACTTTAGAGGTTGTACAAATCAGGAAAGAACGACGATATGCATAAATACACCTTACACTCAGACGATCCAGACTTTGTCAGAGCCAAGATCAACGCCCAACAGATTAGTGATGTAAGGCACAGATTCATATTCTTTATATGACAAATACAACGTGCAAGCAAATAATTCAATCTAATTTGGGAAATATCTCTGCATTCACCTTTCTTCTTCATGTAGAAAGTCTACAAGGCATCTGGGGAGCAGGTGAAGACATCAGGCTATGACCTGAGACTGGATGCTATTCCCTTCCAAACTGCCAAGGCCTCCAGAGAGATCGCCAGTGATGTGAGTTCTTCTAAGTTTTTGCAATATGGTGAAAAAAGGAAGTTTAGTCTCTCTTCTTTGAAGAAAGCCATTACGTTTAGCACAAAAATGTAAACCTAAGTCGTAGTGTTTTAATCTCAGTTTTGTTTTCACTCAGTGCATGTAGCACCAAAGCAGAGGATGCTGTCAGCGCAGCATACTATTGTAATCTATTGCCACAATCATCTGAGCAAAAGACATTTGCTCTCCCAATAGTTCCGTTACAAGGAATCCCACGTGAAGGAGAAGGGCCACCAGGTGGGGCTGCGTTGTGTGGAGGACGATCCTAAGATGGTGCACTCACTGGCAGCCAGTAAACTCCAGAGCAACCTGGAGTACAAACGTCAGTCCAAGGAGGACCGAGCCCACTTCAAAATGCATGCAGACCAGCCTGAGTTCCTGCAGGCGAAGAAGAGTCAGGCTCAGGCTAGTGACCTCAGCTACCGGCACAAACTCCATGACTATACCTGCGATCCCGAGCAGCTCAATGTCAAGCATGCCAAGCAGGCTTACAAGCTGCAGAGCGATGTGAGTCACAGATGACAGAATGACGATGAAAAAGATGGGGAGATTTGAAAAAATAAAAGCAAGGGACTGTTAAATCTGAAGTGCTAATGCTACCCTCTCAATTTGAGATAAAACTGCTACAGTTCGTCGCCAACAGATTAATGGAAAGTGGTGGATATCTGACGAAATTCTGATCTGTGGTTCTGCTTTATTTCAGGTAAACTACAAGTCAGATCTGAACTGGATCAGAGGAGTGGGGTGGACCCCTCCCGGCTCCCACAAGGCTGAGCTGGCCCGGCGGGCTGCAGAGCTGGGGCTGACTGAGGGAGTGACCACTGAGGAGGCTATTGCAAAGTATCAGCACATGATGATGGTGAGTGAGCTCGAACTATAGATTTCACGGCGAAGCTCTCCGTGGGTTAAATCCTCCCCATCTCCACCTTTCAGCTGCATCACCAGCAGCAGATGGAGCAGCAGCAGCTGCAACAACAGACTGCAGAGCACGTGGAGACGAGCCAGGAGATTCAACAAGGCGTCAACATGGACGCCATGGAGGTCCTTCACGTCAAGAGGAAGAAGACCATCCAGACCGTTCAGAAGAAATCTTCTACCACCACAACTTCATTCAAATCCATGGAGAAGAAATCCAGCTCCTCCTCATCTGCCTCAACAGCTGCTGTCCAGAACACAGTTAAGATGACAAAGTCCAGTAAAGCTGCTGCGATAGAAAACGCATAGAGTGGAAAGGCTTTTTCAATAAATAATAGTGTTTATAGAGATTCAATGATGCCACTTTAAGAAATTGTGTTTAATTTTACTAAGTTAATGAGATGACTAACATTTCAGAGCTGCCGAAAGTGCCACTATGAACGGGAATAAGTATGTAGACCCAGAGCAGGGCTTGTCTGGTTTGTTTGAATGAGTGTTAAGGTATGTGCCAAGCAAAAGGAAATGATTTGGATTTTGGGAGTTGCCAAAAACTAAAAACACTTTCATACAAAAACATGAAGGTTACTGAAAGGCAATTAAAGTCGTTACAGAATAATGATCGACCTGAAAGCCTTGTCCAAATGAAAGCTTGTTTTTGTGTGTTTATGTCATAGATAGCTGGAGCAGGGTTTGCTGAGAGGCCAACGGTGTAAAGTACAAAGGGTTTTTGACATGGTTTTAGTAAACAGTATATCCTGCAAGTGAACTTTGCTGAAACGTAAGGGGGCAATGAAACCCAGTTCTGATAACGTAGTCCAAGGCTCAGCAACAAAGAAGAACAAAACTACTGAAATGATGTGTGTTCTACTTTTGTCTGGCAGGTTCAGCTTCGTGAGTTTGTGACAGTGTCCCCATTAACTCAAAGCTGGGCTGCGAGTAAATGCTTGGTTTTAATTGCTGATCAAATAAAGTTTTTTCTAAGGCAAAGTTTATTCGTTTCCCCTCAGAAAATAAGAAACAAAGACAACAACAACGTTTAGTTGATATTGCTTTTGATCCAGTTGAGAAAGGTGTGGACGTTGGCGTAGACACCGGGCTTTTTCTTCTCACCACAGCCAACACCCCAACTCACCACACCAGTGATGTAGTGGGTGCCATTCTCCTCACACACCAGCGGACCTCCTGAATCTCCCTGCAGTGTTGTAGAAGGATTGAGTAAGGACAAAATATTTTCTGTGAAGAGTCCCTCATGACAAAGGACTGATGCCGTCAAAGCTATCTGTTATAATCTTTGGATCTGGATCCCTTCAAGGGCAACCTTCTCACCCTGAGATTCTTCTTCAAGTAAATACACACCTGACAGGAGTCAATGCCTCCCTGCAGGGTCCCTGCACAAAGCATGCTGTTGTCCAACAAATTTCCGTAGACTTGAGGGGTCTGGCATCGCTCTTTAGAGATCAGGAAAACACGAGCATTCAAGAGCTGGCTGCTGTAGCGTTCTGAAAGGTGGATATCAGAGCAAAGGTTTTTATTCAAAATAGATAAAATATGTAATCAATACATCCTTAATTAAATGAGTCTGTTTATGCTGCATGGACATCACTGGTCCGGGGATAAAATAAAGTATTACGGGTCTCAGTTGCTCCCCATCCGGAGATCACACATTCCTTTCCAGAGGGGAAGGGCCGTTCTGGGAGACACACTGACTTCACAAAAGGAGTTTCCCTGGCACAGTAGGGACTGTTTGTGACTTTGAGTTTAAGTAAAGCTAAAAGAGAATTGGAAACAAACAGATGGTGATGTTAAGCATCAGAACAAGCAAATCTGAATTCACCATTATTTTGTAATTTGCAGAAATTATGAATGAAAGACTTGAAATACGGACCAAAATGAGATTAAAAACATCAAATTCTGTCCATTACACATGTCATATCACCAAACTAAATGTGAGTCCCTGTTGTTGATATTCTATTTACTTGTCTAAATTTAAAAACAAAACACTGGATTTGATAAACGTGGCTAACCAACGTCGTTGTAAAGTGCCGCTTGAGTCTCCCTGTAGTTCTCATGAACAATCGTTTCTATTACTGGGATGGTCTGGTCCATTTCTTCACGTTTTTCTATATTCACTCCTCCTAACACCACCTGGAATTCATTAGTATTGTCACTGAAAAGAGAAAAATAAGTTAAAAGGGAAAAACAAAAGAGGAGGAAATGAACAAGGAATGGGGACGCAACACAAAACCTACATGCAGTGGGCTGCTGTGAGCACCCAGCAGGAGTTGAGCAGGATCCCACCACAGACGTGTCCAAACGCAGAGGACGACCGCTTGGGTCTGACCTGCACAGACACTTGCCAGGGGTGGGAACCTGGGGCGGATTTGGTGCCACCAAAAATCCTGCTGTTGCGAAACGGACGGAGTTTTCCACACTGTGAAAACTGGGAGGAGCCCGTTGTTGGTGTGGCCGGTAAGGGTGTTGTAGTTGTTACTGTTGGACGTGGAAAAAACATGTAAAGCTGCATATTCTGAGTAATTATGTCAAATCGGATGGTGGGTAGAGACATATTTACCTTCGGTGCATTTCTTTATTTTGCAGAAACCCCAATTCAGAGCGCCTCGCTTTTTTATAAAACACCAGGGCTTCTCATCCCCATCTGGATTCCTGAAATGCAGATATTGGTAAATATAGACGTGATTAATATACGGTAAATTATTATTTTTTTTTAATACAAATTGCATCTTCGAACCATAGAAGTTAAATAGACAGGACATGATAGAGAAAGATGGAGCAGTCACGTACCTGCAGTGGTTGTTTTGTTCAAGGCCAGAAAAGTCTGAGTATGTGGTAAAAGGATCCTCCCCATTACGTACAATGAAATAAGAATGCCAGTCAAGACACTCCTCTCCTTTTTCAGTGACACTGGCTGCACCTCTGTATGACTCTCCATTTCCCATAAAACAATCAAGTTCATCTGCACAGGAAGATAGAGATATTAAAAGTCATAATAAGCTCGAATCAAATTTCTATAGTTGTTTTTTCTAACTAAATACACAAATGAACTTTTATAGGATCACATCACAAAGTTTTCACAAATTTGTAAGCAATATTTTCGTTGTCTTTTCTTACTAATTTCGCAGAACTTCCCAGTATATCCATTACTACAGGCACAGTGAAAGCGCCGTTTTCCTTTTATGCAAGAAGCTCCATTCTGGCAGGGGTTGGGCTCGCACGCTGATGCTGGCACTGATTTAAACAATAAAAGCCTGCATCACCTTTACGATGTGTTGTGCCATTTCTTTTTAAGTGCTAAGTTATTTAGCACATGAGGACATGTTGTTTTGTACACTCACATGTTTTGCAGTCAGGGCCTCTGTATGGAGGCCTGCACTTGCACTCGTAATATGGGGGTTTCTTTAGGTTGACCATGCATTCACCATTGCCACATCTGACACGATCACAAATATCTTTCACTGAGGAACAAAACAAATTTACAACAAAAGATTTACAAAAGATTATCATATTAACAAATATTACATTTATAGCCAATCAAAACACAATGAACAACTTTAAAAAGGCAAAAAATGTAGTACATTTAAACCAGAATATCAAACAAGTGTGAATTCCATATACCTTTCTGGCACCTTTTCCCAGTGTAAGGCTCAGGACATGAGCATGTGAATTCTGTTCTGGATTTACTTTGACAGGAGCCCCCATTAAAGCAAGGGTTCGGATCACAAACACCTGGAAATATGATAAGGGATCAGTTTGGGGGAACACAATCAATGTATATATGCAATTACCAATCAAATAGTTTACTTACTGGACTCATCCAAGAGGTCAAACAACCAATCGTTTACATCGAAATCATAGTAAGGAGTATCTGTTGGACTGTCAACATCATAATCTATATCTGAAAAGAACAGAGTTGCTTAAACTCAGGAGCTTTGCAACATACACAGGTCAATATTGACAAGGACCATCTTTCATTTGGGTTGAAAGTCACATATGACTTTTTGGAACAAAGAAAGTCAGTGTATCCCCAAAAAATTTTTAAACTGACTTTTCTCTTAATTTTTGCACAAAGGGTTGTCAGTTCCTTGTTAAAAGATATTATGTTTGAACTAATTTAACTAATTGTATTGAATTGTGATCAGATGAGAAAAGATTCTTACAAACGACATCCAGCTGCAACGACAAAATGACAGAAAACAACTAGTCAGAAAGGGAAAACTCATATCACGCGTTATTTCTCAAAGATTCAAACAGAGTAACTTACAGCTGGTTCATATCCTTGGACTGTTAGCAAACTGAGAAGAAAGAACAGGGTCCCCTCAGCCAGCATGACTCCACTGTGTAGAACTCCCAGCACAGTGCTGACTCAAAGCCTGACATCAAAACCCTACTGCTTTACTTGTCAATCTTTAGCCAGCCACATTGATTTTGGGAGGACCTTTTTCCTTTTAGTCATTGAGTTAACTTGCTCTTTAGGACTTGAGCAGGATATCAGGGCAGTGTTTGTGTGCGTGTAGAGCGGTTTCATGCCTGGTGTCTGTCCCGTTATCAAGAACTGGTTCTGTTCTGCATTTAGTGGATTGACTAAAAAATCTGTAGTGTGTATAATAAGAACATGCTGATCATTTTTTCACATGATCATTTTTCACATTAAATAAATTAACCCAAACCAGCCACAATATCAAACTGTAACCAGCCCAGTGCTGGTAATAGTTGCAAGTGCACTGAAATGACTTATTTTCAATACTATTTGATTATATATATATTTTAAATATCAATGTGTTGGAACAGCAGGACTTTATAGAATGTATTTAAATTAAGAAAAAAACATACCGGACTATATAGATTGTGTTCCCAGCAGTGAGTCTAACCTTTCAACCCTTTGAAAATCATCAAACCGAGCTAAAACCTGAAAATCAATACAACTAGGAGGACATTATACATTTGAAGGTTGCAACAACTCGTAACTGGGTCACCAACCTATTTTAATTTAACTTATTTCATGTTTTTCTAAATGTTCTTAATGTACTCCTATTATGTGAAATTAGCAACTAGAAGTATCAAAGCTTAGTCTTGCAAAGAAGAGCCAGACCAGAGAACTTTGCGAATGGCTCCAATGATATGGCAAAAGCAATTTAGATGTGGGTAAATCACCAACTCTGATTAATTAGTGAGAAAGAAGTAGAAAAAGGAAAAGCCAATTTGTAAAATACCTATGAAAAAATTGAAGTATTTCAAATTTCCACATTAATTTTCTTACTCTTTCAAAGATGTCATTCTTATCATTGAGTATTGGCCAGATGGTAGGAAAGACATTAATGTTAAAATAAGGAACAGTGCATTTCACTTTGCATAGCAAGTGAAAAAAATACCAACTCTGAGATACATGCATACATATTGCATGCGTTTGCTGTTTACATAACCTGCTGTATTCGGGACAGAGTGCATTTGACTTCTATGGAAAACTGGTTTCTACAAAACACTTAACTGAACCCAATTTATTCTATACTCGTTTTCAATTTCATGTAAGCATTTTGTGGTGTAGTCTGTCATTAACAATGCAAAAACATTATACAGTTGCTCTTGAAAAGATTATACACCAAAAAGAAAAGAAAAACAACTTTCACTCTAGTCATTTGCCAGCCAGGCTTTTTTTTTTATTGAAACAGTGATCACTTTATAAAGGGCACAAGATGATATTTTCAATATACAGCAATGTATAGCCCTTAATGTAGATGGGTACGCATGTGGCGAGGAGTCAAATCAGACCAGTCTCTCACTGTTTGTCTTCTCTTAAAGGAAGATCACTACAGTTAGCCTGCTTGAAGAGTAGCAGAGCCAGTGAAGCTGAAGAGGAGTGCTCATAAAGACCATATAGGTCAGTTGATTCTCCTTTATTTGACACAACACTCCAAACTGGCGTGGCTCAGCAGACACTTCAAACGTGCCGACCTATAAGTGCCTCTAACGTTGATTGATGAACGGTAGGCATAAATTGATGTCATATTCATCCATCAACGTAAAAAATAAAATAAAAAAACATGCAAAAAAACATCATAGATGTAGTATTAGGATCGGTCTGATGCCGATTTCTAAGAGCAAGTCAGAGTATTTAACATTCACATCTCCATTGCAATCTCCCCATGTGCCAAACTGTGTCTTAAACATGCGAGTCACTATCCTCAGCAAATCACAGGTTTTCCACTGGAAACAGGAGGGCAGTGAGTTAAAAACAATTGTTTTAAAAAAAGTCTGTAAATATATGCATATAAATCTGTCAGGAAATGGCAGCACTGCTCAGTTCTCACTATCCAAGTCCAGGAAAACTGTTTGAAAAAAAGGTCACAGCGTGTCAAGATTGTTCTGTTGAAACTCGAGAGTTCCTAAGGTCGACGTATCGCCCTCGAGACGGCGTTCATGTGTATTCTGATTTACGGATGTAGTTGGAAGGCACGTATCCCCGCCGACCCCCTGCTTCCCCCAGCCACCATTCACTGTTGCCGTTCATGTCCTGGAACTCCAGTATCCGCAGCCGCTGATTGGCGGAGATGGTCAGCTCGTTGGCACAGCGGGCGTCGAAAGCATAGAGAGCATAGTAGATCTGGGACGATGAAGAAAAAAACAACATTAGTGTTATGACATCATCTCTGGGTTTCTGTCGCATCTACGCCTCCAGTGAAAACGTGGCAGTTTGGCATCACTACTCACCTGGTGACTGTCCGGCTCACTCTCGTGCTGTGCCTCTGGCTCGGCGTACTCCTCCTGGGTGTGAGGCGACTTTCTCCGATGGCTGCCGTCTTCGTTTGCCCACTGATGCGAGCTGTGGCTTTTGTCCGTGTGCGCATATCGCTGCGAGCGACAGTTCCTCTGTGAGGAGTAAGAGTCTGTCTCCGAGAAGTCCGACGTCTCCTTGTGTCCAACCCCGTAAGTGGCATCGTACGAGTCTCTGTGAGCGCCCGAGTGCCGGTAGGACTGCTCTGTGTCTCTGTGGCGGGACGCATTTCGGTGGGTCTGCTCCGAAAAGTCCCTGCGGTTGGAGGGATTTCGGGGCGAGGAGTTTATGGAGTTGCTCTGACTCACAGAGTCAGGGTTGGGAGTGTCTCTGTGCTGACTCCGGCGGGAGAGGCTGGAGTCGAGTGACGGATGTGGCGAGGATTGACTCGGGGCCTGCGCCGTGGAGAAGCTGACGGTGGCCGTGTCCTGGTTAAAAGTCAGTGTGCTGTTGCTGTTCTGACGGGAGAAAACAGGGGAGGACCCGCCGTAGCCCGACTCATTGGACGACTGGCTCTCAATGGACACGTCCGACTGGCTCCTGCGTGGGTTGTAGGGTTTGAGGAAGGAGCTGTACACAAAGCCCTTGGTGACTGCAAAACAAGATCAACAGAGTCAAGCTGAGAAGTTGCTCCTTTTTTTTTCCTGCGGATCATTTAGGCAAGACACAAATGAACTACCTCCGTTATCGATCAGCCAGCGGTTGTTGCTCCCCATGGGGTCCTGCTGCTTGATTACCCCAACAAGGTCTCCCTCTAATATAGAGACGTCCAGATCCTGGGCAGCGTTGAAGTTCCTCTCGGCCTGGAAAAGTTTCTCAGGGCCAAAGCGAACCAGAAGCGCTGCACGGTGCTCATCCGTCTGTAGGTTGTGGTTGGGCTAAAAGAGGTGCGAGACCTTTGGTTAGATCACTGGTGAAAACACATCTATTAAGGTCAGGAGAAATAAGCTCAACTCACTGGTCCCGGCAGTTGCTTTTTGGAGGTTTGCTTCTCGAGAGTTTTCTTCTCAAAGGGCTTTTTAGTGGCCACGGCGGGAGGCAGGTTCTCTGGGCAGAAGCTGAAGCTCTGAAGGAGTTGGAGGCAGTTCCCATACTCCTTGTTAAACAGGGAAATCAGGTTTTCCCCCTTTCCCGCCTTGTTGGAGAACTTGGGGCGAAAGAGAGCACAAAGGTTCCGTTAACCCCACGTGTGAAAAATTAAAGTGCAGCAATGGGCTGTCAACGTTGCCAGAATCACACTCACCACATGCAGGAGGGGCTTCATCTCTCCCAGTGTCGTCTTCATGAAGTCTTTCTGGGCTTGGGCAAAGGCTCGCACGCAGCCTGTGAACAGCTCCTCTGCTGCGCAGTGGAACTTGGGCAGCTCGTCCAGAAGCTGGGCGTTGAGCGCCTCGTAGTTGTTGCGAGCGACCTGCAGCTCCTCCTGGACGCGGCGGTCCTTCAGGCGGTCCGCGCGCTCCTTGCAGCTGTCGTAGTCCAGCAGCTTGTCGAAGCGCTTCTGGATGAGTTTGTGCGGCCCGGCGAACATGAGGAGGAGCTGGTTGAGCGGGTCGATGACCAGGGCTTCTGTGCGTTCTTTCTGTTGAGGACAAGAGCGGGTCGATGGGTTAGGTGGTGTTGTCCAGTCTCCTCAGGGACTCCTCAGTGAGTGGGGTTCACTTACAAACTGTGTGAAATGCTTGTCGCTGATGCAGCGGTGTGCTTTCGCGAAGCAGTCGGGATCCTGCACACCGCGATCTGTGTAGATGTCACAGAAACTGAGGGCTGCCAAGACCTTCACAGATGCTGATTCCTAACAGAACATGAATTTGAACGTTAATTTTGACCCATATTCGTTTAAGTTAACATTCATGAACATAACGATGAGCTCCTACTCTGATATGTTGCAGGTACAAGGAGATATCTCTGATAAAAGACTTGATTAGCCTCTCCTGAAGACGGAACTTCTTTTCAGCCTCATCAAATCCTTCATCTTTGATCTGGAAAAGGAGGACAAAAATAAATGAATAAACCAGTCAGGCTTAACCCCGACAGCTTTTCAGAGCTTACCCCCACCTAGGGTTGGAGTGGAAACAAACCTGTGGCGAAATGCCTGTGAGGTGCTTGAGGTGGCTACTGACACGGTTCGATTTTTTGATAATAGAGTGCATGCTGAGCTTTGAGATCTTGTCAATGAACGTGTCTTCATCTCCCTTCCTATACTTCATCACTGTGGATGGCAGAAGGACAGCGTTACACAAGAAAAAAAAAAACACAGGTGAAGTGAGTGAGCACTAACTTATCACTCTAAGAAAGCCAGAATTATTTTCACAGATGGATCTTGAGATAATAACAATGGCAAAGTGTCATGGCACCTACCTAGGTCCTTCCTCCGCTTGTACTCATTGATGTTTACGTTGATTTCCTTGACAGCCAGGGCAGCTTTGGCAAGAAGGGAGCGGTCGTGGTGACTTTCTGGCGTGGCCCCGAGCAGCTCTGTGAGCAGCAGTGGGTAACGCATCACCCGCTGCACAGGCTTTATCAGGAAAGAGCCAAGGTTGATATAGTTTGTTTTCCCCCTAAAAAAGCAGCAGAGACATTGTGGAGGTGAGGTTAATGGGAACGCAGAGTCAACGGAACAGTCTCTGCTGATGACTTCTGTTGACAAGAAACTCTTTGGTGCCAACATTTCACGCATACAGATATCAAACCATCACCACATATTCATACGTTCCGATGATGACCGGTGTGGTTTTAAAATGTAACATTTAAAGGGAGCAAGGAAGGCACAGAAAGTGGTCAAATCAAATGCAACATACTGGACATCAGTTTCCACAAACATTCTGTTTATTCTGTTGTTTTCAGCCCATTTTTTAAATTTCTTTGAGCTAAAATTCTTACATAAATAACTGTTTTTTTTAAGAATATACCTGTGCTATTATAAACTGCTTGTGCTGTTTTAGTCCAGTAGGTGGCATTATTTCACAAGGATCAACCACATCTTTGCTTAGCCATTGAGAGAGGCGAGAGCTGGAGTCAGATGAACTGATTACCCTTCTGCCCAACAATGGTAAACAGCACACATGCACATGCAAACACAAACGGCAGATTATTAATAAGCACATCTCAAATCAGCACGGATGTAGTTTTTTTTTCCAATTTTCCACCTCCACAGAACACATCAGTGTTGAGCTACCACGGATAAACACACACACACACACACAGGTCACGTTCAGAAGGGTTAATGAACAAAAGGCAAGCACTGAAGATGATTCCCATGATGGAGGTCATGCTGACACTCTTTATGGAGACTTACCACTCGCGATATATGGCCCTGTTGAAGAAAGGAATGGAAAGAGATGGAAAGATAAGACATGGTTCATACTATCAATTACTAGATTTTTCAGTCACTTGGAGCAAAATTTGAATTTTGAAAAAAAGGGAGAATTTCCTTTCGTGTAGGTTTAAAAAAAAAAATAAAAAAATCTGACTATCTGGCTAATAATAGACTGAAGACAGCTGTATTCATCGTTGTGGTTTTGTTTGTCTAAATATGCTCCTCAACAGAGAGCCAGAGCTTTAAACGTGAAAACTGATGAGAAATAAAAAAGGGAAAAAGGGAAACAAACTAAACGTTTTGTGGAGCAGGGATTAGCAGTGACCGCAGTCAAAGCTGTCCATTGTCCGTTTCCTTTTGTTTTCTTTCCTGCCTGACCAAAGCCGTGTTTATCTTCAAGCACACTTTATTTCGCTGAGACAAAGCAGTGTCAACTCAAGCATCTGAGTCACAGACTGAAACCTGACGGGAGAAACCAGGCAGGGAACATTCCTGAACTGCTCCACGTTTCTGAGGTCCACAGAAAAACTCAGACTGAGCAAACTCACAGCTGACCTATGGTTTAAAGGAAATTAATAACGTATTTGGAGATTTACTATAATAGTAATTCCCTTTGACAACTTTCCAACACAGTGAAGTTCAAAGTCCACTAAGGAGTTTTCCGTATAATACTCTCAATCTGCATCTCTTTAGAAGTAACTTATTAACCTTTGACTAAGCATTTACAATATTGCTGTTGTTTTCATGCCTTCACACGTTAACATGCACAATTGTCATTATTCACATGCAAAAGTCAAACACACAAAATTAAACTCTGAAACCTAAGACGATCAACTAATCCTTCCACACACTTTTTGTCGTCTCTGTGACTCACCTCAGCCTCTCCAGACATTCCACCACGTGGCACTGGATGTTTTTATCCTTCTCGTAAGTCTCCAGCAGAGAGATGGCATCGTCATGGTTCTGGCAGTAGAGTTTGTACACCTCTTGCAGATCCTCTCTAAAGTCTAGAAATACTTTTCCTGAGAGGAAAGGGCACAAACATGACACAGCAAGTGTTTACTTATAATAGGGAGAGACATCAACCAAAAGCACAATAGTTTAACCAACAAATGACATTTTGTGAGGTACATAAAAATGTCAGGTCAGTTTGAAGGAAAAGGAATTTAGTTGGGGGACATGTCCATGTAAATTCCAGAGAACATAAACAAACCACAGCATTAACTGGCCTACTCATTTAGTTTGCTTCACGTGAAACCATTTACAGCCAGTGAAATTAAAACTGGAAGCTACTTGTGGTTGCAGCATGAATCAAGAACAAAAGTACAGCTAGCAGAGGGAGTGAAGCATCCCCATTGGTCATGCATTCTTTTTTAAATAACTCCTCACCAATGGTGTCTGTCTCTTGGAGCGCCTCAAGCAGCCGCTGGGACAAGTCAATCACTGAGTCGATGTTCCCAAAGAGTCCATCAAAGTCCACGTTCTTCAACTTCAACAAGAAAGTACAGGTGAAACAGTGATCAACTTACCAAAACAAACAAAAATATAATAATACAGCATCCTTCCACCACATTGAAATTAGGCTATATTATCTGTTAATTTAGTATGATGAATGGGCACCTCACAGGAAATGAGACCAGGGAACTCTTTTCCTTACGCCAACTATTTTCTTAATGTCGTGGTCATACAACATACCCATGATTTCTTCCCATCTCCATCTTATTACCTGCTTTGCCTGAAGTGGCTCAATAAGCTCCGAAACACACATCTGCAGGTCTTTGATGTAGTCCATCTCTGTCTGCAGCAGTTCCTCTATGACCTTTGACCTCTTCTCCAGCATCCTTTGCTCAGGGACCTCGTTGTCCGTGCCGGCAGCGGCGGCCGTGTCCGAGTCTGGAGTGGAGTCCAGGAGTTTGGGCTGAGACGACATAAGCGTCATCTCTGAAAAGACGACAAAAAGAAGGATTTTGTGTCATTGAAGCTTGAAGACATTTGTTGGAGTTAAAAAAAAGGGGAAAAAAGCAATGCAAGATTTGACAAAGGGAATAGTGCAGATAAATATTCCACATCTTCGTTCATTTGTACCCAAACACACTGGTGCCCACCCACCCGGTCCACCCTAAACTCATCGTCTTGTGGAAAAGCCTTTTCATCCATGTCCCTTACGATCGCTCGCAGAGGACTGATCTCTGGGGGATCCTGGAACTGTGAGGAAAGCCTTGTTCACGCACTGCTGCTTTTTATCAATGGCGACAAAACTGGAGTGGACTCAGGCCCTTTGTGTGTGGCACAAAGGCCTGTGACAGCAACTACAGACACACGGGCTCTCAGGGCCCGACCGGGACTTTAAAGAAGAGGCAGTTAGTTAGAAGAAAGAGGAGAACATACATGAGAACCGTGAACATGTGGAGCTCATACACATTTTGCCTTAAGAATGTAGGGTATGGCCACATCTGCTGTGGGTGGATTCTTATCCCTCTTACACAAAGGGAATGCAGTCATATGTCAAATGTCTAATTCAGAATATGAGCTGATATAATGGAACGCTCATTGAACATCGAAACTTTAACTGAAACTTTAACAATACATCTTCAGGCATCTCTTGGTTCGGTGTTGCTGCTTTAGCTAGTGAAATCTGTTCATTTGTGGTCACCTCTCAGCCTTCTTTGCTCAGACTGTGTCTTCAGGCTACCCTGGGATTATGGTAGGTTAGATCTGGATCATGCCTTCCTGTGTGTTTTGGTGATCACTTCAAGATTTGGACAGGTTTGATTTAATCCTCCCTCCCATCAGCATTTCTTGCAAACACATATCTACACCTTTTTCAGGATCTTCAAGCAGTTAAAGTGCAGAAGTAAGCAAACATTTGCCGTGAGGGAGGCAAAGTTGTGGAAGGAGCAGCCAGAAGAAAATAGGTCAGCAGATTATGTTTGGTCTGAGCAAAAGACAGCTTTGGTCTCAAACAATAGGAAATATCGGGCAAGGCTTAAAACAAATTCAATACGAAAATAGGAAAGCGCGTTTGTATTAAAAAAACGTAGAGAGCTAGCTATTAAAATAAAACAATAATTCAATTAAGACGAGTAGCAAGCAATGACGTATCCCAGCAAGACGGGATCCAGCAGGTGAGCCAATGTGTGGAGGCATGGAGCTGACATCACCTATCCTCCCTGAACAGATGCCGAGACTAATGAAGTTAACTCGGCTTACCCTCAATTAACCCTCACCCTCTCTCCACCCATACACACAAACACACACAAACGCACACAAATTGCCCACTTTTATGAAAAATCTCAGGCTTACTTACTAAAGAAGCTGTGGATTATGGCAAAAAAAAACATCTGAAAAAACCACTGACCGCATTTGATGAAAATGTATGAAAAGCCAAAATCCAATATCCCTAAATGTGTTTTTTGAAGCACATGAAAAAAAGGGGGGTTTTCCTTTCATGACCAGCAGTGTTTATTTGAACCATGGATCACCTGCCCTTTGTCTCTCCCTTTTCACGTGACTTGGCTGAGGCTCAACTCAAAGGAGCTTTTCTCATCGCTTGAACCATTTCTGCCCGCAGCATCCGTCGCTGCTGCCCTGCCAACGCCCGTGCGTCTCCCCACCAATGAGAAAGTAGTTCACTAATAGGTTTTCCAAAAGTCACACGGCAGCCACAACGAGGACAGAGGGAAAACAAAGGAACGGGAATTTAATTGGAATCAATTCCCACGTTTGATCTAGCACACATACACAAAACCACATCATATGCTCCACTTCCCAGGTTTGAATATGCAGCCATTTCAGTCAGAAGCAACCTGTGGAGCCTCATGACCAGAGTTTGACCCACTTCTGCAGATTTTCACTTTATTTTGTCCTCTGAAGAATTACAAAGAGGGGCACCTGCAACGTGCACACAATTATATGAAACACACTGAAGCACACGGTTGGTTGTGCTTTCAACTATTTCAGGACATACTGACACTGTTGTTTTTGTACCTTCTGTGTACCAATAAAGTTTTGTTTTCCTTGTTCTTTTTTATGCATTGTGCATTTGTGGGGATCACCATGTTCTACACTGGTAAGTTTGTCTTGGGTGTAAAATGTGAAATCAAACAGACGTACAGAGTAGGTGTGAAATGTTACCCACACAAGAAACAGGAAGCAGGGGTCATAACTCTGCAGGAGGTATGTGTGTTAGGAATGAGCTGGCCTAGATTCACGATTTACAAACACAGAACAATGCAAACAACCAGACTGCCTCTATTAGTCAGCTGAATATTGTTGTGAGGCTTTATGGGCTATCGGATATGAAAAATCTGGTGCTGCCATTTATTTTCTAGATAAATTTACTTCTAAAATATCCTGCAGGAATACATTAATGTTAATCTTTTCAGGACAACTGATACTAGAGCATACTTAAAAAAAACAAAAAAAAAACACCTGTGTACATATACACACAGGTGTGTATATGTACATATACAAACAGATTATGCAATTCCAATTGGCAAAGATCAATTAAAGACTAAGACTAATTTAAAGCACTTTAAATATGTTTCCATCAACTAAAGGATACATGTATTTGTATGTTTTCCTTATACTGAGGAAAAATGAAAGAATGCTTAACTCAAAATAATCATAAATATCCAGATATGAAACAGCCCTTGTCTTTCCCTGTGAACTGATGGAATGTGTGTCACAGCTCTATGCTTTTGATCTGCCCGGGCTTCTACAGGTGGGATCAATAGAGCAGAGCAGATATGGGGCCCATTCCAAATAGCTGTTTTATGGAGTCGTTTCAAGATTTCTTTGTAAAGTAAGAACCTGAATCAGCTCCATTTAGTATGAATCAGTGTCCTGCTGGGAAGGTTCTGGGTTATTCAGTAAAGCCAATTGGTAGATCAGGAATCTGAAACCGTTTCCAGCCCTTCTTTAATTAAACATGTTCACTACTGAGATTACAAAGCCAGGTTTGTTTTTCGGGGAGTATCATTGAGGAGTGTGGTCAATTCACTGCCATTCTAAAAGTGACGTAAAACAGACAACAGCTCGTACTTCACTCTCACAGATCCTCCAACAGCCAGAATGACTCAAGTCACAGCCATCTGATAGATTAGCACAAGTTATCAGCAATTTACCCTAAACAAAGTAAGGGTTGTCTCTGGAGCAAATGGCAGCTGAGGCACATTGCAGAGTTTAAAAAAACACAAGCTTTGACCTAATCTATTTCATAAATGCAATTAGTTACAGCGATCTGTCAAATGAAGCTCCCCTAAATATAAACTGCAACAATAAACACATTACTCTGTGCGCTCTGTCCCAGATAATGTTTTGTTATCAGAGAAAGAAACAGCAAAAGGGAGAGAAAGGGAGACAGTAAGGCTTCACCCACCTGCTGCTCGCAACTTTCTTCAAACCACTTCAAAAGCAACGCCCCTCCACACATTGTGGTTCAAACAACGCCAGCCATTCTAAGATAGTCCATTGTCAATCTGAGGTCTAGCTCCGGAGCCTTGTGGTGGACTGCGAGCCCAAAAGCTCCATTCCTGAGCTCCAATTACCATGTGAATGGATGGGAACCCATCATCATCACACACAAACGCACACACGTACACACCAGGGAGGACTACCACCACTCCGGCGGACCCAAAAACCTGGAGCTGAACTCATACACATCTTTTCGTTCTAATGGCTTTTGCTGTATTTTATCCTTCTGTTTATTAAGTACTTTATCCTACACTTTAGTCTATTTTGAAGATGCAAGATCTGATGTGCAAAAAAAAAAATTAGAATAGCACCAGGGTTGCCTCCTCATCCATTCTGGTTTCTATCATGCCACTAGGTCATATCAGAAGAGATTGAATAAAGTTAAGTTAATTAATTGTGTATGTCTTAAAATATATACAACTTGCGGTCAGGACTTATACAGAATTTACAAAAGTGTGAATGAGGAGTACATTGTAAAACTCTGTCCAGAACCCTGGCACGGTTAAAAAGTCACGGATATCCACAGACTGATATCCATTTAACTGCAATTTAATGTGAATCTTGATGAGTATTTTAGGTTGTGCATAACCCCTGAAGCATTTGTTGGAGTTATGAAAGATGGGTGGAGTCTGGAGAAGTCTAGTCCACTTTTGTTACCGATCTGTTTCATGTTTCACAACCTGCCTCCACCTGTTTCAGTTCTTCCTCTGACAAGCTGAACGCTATCAATATTATGATGCTGAGATTTAACATTGGACCTAAAGGTCCCACTGGTAAACGTGCTCTTAAATATGGACCGTGTTCCCTTAAAATAAGTAAACAGAAAAGAGTTTTTGGTTGTGGCTCAATTTAGGGCTTCAAGAGGCTTAACTTTTTTGCTTGATTGAAGGAAAACCAGTAAGTCGTGATGGCTTTTTTTCCCCCCACTAGATTCACGCTCTGCAGTCAGCCCGACTGACAGCGGCGCAAAGTCAAAAGTACACAGGACTTTAAGGTCAGGAACAATCAGCGCTGTGTGTTCTGCTCTGAAGTTCACAGCAGAGTGCACAGTTACCAAGGCAACAACAACTGCAGGGGCCCTCCTCATTTCAAGTTTGGGAAAGCTGGGAGTGGCTTTCCAACTCAGCTGGGACATGAGAATAAGTTCAGAAAAGCTCACGGATTAAAACATGCCAACAACTACAAAAAGTGAGCCATGACATGCGGCCAGCACAAAAAGTGAACAAACTAACAAAAACAAACAAACAAAAAAAGTCCACGACACTGGTAAATGAGATAAGCACCAGAGAGTGAACTTAGTAAAAACCTGTCGGCTGTGGCCGTTTCATGTACTACCAATGTTTTTAAAGCTGCTCTGGTACACTACTACATTTTTTGTGCAAAAAACTTCCTCTTTATCTACAAAAAAGAGCTTCAACCTCCTCCTTTTGTATGCTTTTACCTTCCAATTGTTTTAGAAGTGCCTCAAAATGAAAAGAAGGGTGGTTTATTTAGTGGCATACCATCCTGTTTATCTTCTTTAGGGTCAGATGTCAAAAGGTCACATTCCTGCCGGCAGAATTTCACAGCAACCTCTCTCTACAACGCTTGGACAATTACTGCACTCCTCTTAAACGCCACTCGTTAAAAAATATACATACATGATACATGGAGCTCTTATTGTGTTATTCTCCCAAGGGGATCACGCTACGGCTCAATTATCATGCTGAATAAATTACTCTGCATGGGACCACAACTCAGAGCTCTGTTCTTTGAAATCCTCCATTCAAATGACTGTCACAAACAATATGCAGTTACTTCAAGAGACCTTCAGTTTTGCATATGTGCAACAAGTGCTTTAGAAGGAAACCTGAAGAGTCGATCCTACTCAACCAAGAAAGGCGTTCTGTCTTTAAGCTACAGGACTCCAGATGCTTCAGTAATGCCGTAATACAGAAAAGGATTTCAAACACTTAGGATGCAGTTGTTCATGGAGGGTAACTGGACTACATTTCCACTTCTATATGGTTATTTCATGTAGGACGTGAATGTGTTTGTTGTTGGACTCTTAGAGTGGGAAAGTTCTTGTGGATCAGCATGCGTGGGAACCTCTGGAGATGACTCGTAGAGTTGTATCTGCAGCCAACTGTCAGACAAGTTCAGACAGAGGCGCATCTGAGAGCTGGAGGAGTTTATATATCATACTGCCTGTTGCACATGCCCAAACAAAAATACCAGCCTGACATTGCAATTGATTTAATATTACTAAGACTTTAAATGTTAACTTTTAATGGTATCTAATAAGCATGAAAAGGAAAAAAGGAGCTAAACTATGCATATTCTGCACAAAATGTAGAAAATCAAAGTACTCAATACTGGATCATGGGAGCCAATAATGCCACTGGGAATAGAATCATCCCAGATACTCCATACTTTTGCATCTGCTTGTAAAAGCAATTGAGCTGTTCTAGTTCACATAGTTTTCCATTTCTTTTGTCACATAGTTCGTAGAAAATGTGACTGGAAACCAGCCGGTTAAGAGCACTCAAAGCAACACATTTCAGCCCGTTTCTCCGCTCTGACCGAATTCTGATTTCACACCCATTTTCTCCACTGACAAAAACTCCATTCAGCTAACTGTCGGTGCAGAGAATTGAGCCATGTTCACATGGATGATGGTCTTCCACAGAATGTTCTGAATGTTTTTTTCACACAGTATAGAGGTGCTGGATTTACTCTGGTTGGTCGCTCAGTCTCGCTTCTGTGCACGCATACAAAGACAAGGAGGAAGGTTCAATCAAATCAATCAATACTACTGTTTCCACCTCAACTCGACAATCAATGCGAGCCGGCTGACTTGATGTTGAAGAAGCTTACAGCTAAAAGGCACTGCTCCCAGCATTCTATACAGTAGCAAGTCTGCACAGACACAGCCTGCTTTTACTGAAGCATGGTGGACCACTGAGTTATGCTAGTAAAAACAAGCTGTGCTGGGGCTGGACAGTCTAACTCCTCTTAATCTAGATTGCATTTGCATGGTTATTATGTTGATTTAAGGAACTCAAATGACATCATTCAGATAGAAAATCTTTGGGGACCAAGGATAAACCAGAATATCGTGCACATGGTCACTGGTGACTCATGCAGACATAGGTAAGCTGAATTACTTGTTGCTGGTGGACTTTATGGCTCACCAGCAGTGAGATAAGAGGCCCTTAACTGCAACGTAGTCAGACCACTTGAGATTTTATCCAAAGATTTCCTGTTTAAGCTCCCAACTTCCCAATCCCACCCTGATGCTGCTGCCCACCAATGGCAGCGCTGACCAGGGATTACAGACAACGCTGCGTGTGCCTCCAGATCACAGAAGGATGACGACACATTACTCATCCCCAGTTGCTCAAGCACTGTCCACGCAGCAGAGAGGAGACAGAAACCATTGAGCAACCACTTAACCCAAACCAACAGATCTGTAGCTCCAAATCCAGTTCATAGCCCATATATTTTCAAGATGACGCAGGTTAAACTTTGCATATTTATTACATTCTCACGTATCAACGTTTGTGACATAAACTACAGAGAAATATGTCTGTAAATTGTTTGGGGAGGGAATGATTTGATTTTTGTTGTGGATCAGAACGCCCTCACCTATGCAGAAAATCACTGAAGTAGAAAAAGAAAGCAGCTCTGATATACCTGAAGGTCCATCAACAAAAGCCTCGCCCCATCACCTCAATGCCATTGAATCACAATGTAAGCCCAATAAGGACTGTAACAGGATGGTCTCATGTTTTTAGCCCTGCAGTGTAATGCTCAACTCAGGCAAACCCCTGACCGAGCTGAAACAGTTTAACAAGATTAACGGATGGCTGGAGACAGCAAGCATGTGTGTGTGCAAATTTATGTGTGCGTGTCTTTTGAAAGATGCGGTCATTTCTCATACGCGCCCCCCCAGGCCCTGTGCTGCACACGCATGCACAAATGCACGCACGCAGCTTTGCACAGTCTTGAGCTGCAGTAAAGGAGTCAGGTCAGTGCCGGCCACCGCCTGGCACCAGACAGACCCCCACCACCTACTCACCATGCTGACGCTAGGGATTAATACTTAGACTCCTGAAATGGATGTGTGGGAGGGGGGGGCAGTGTAGACTGTGTGTTGTGTGTTGGCTGTCCGCGTGTGGCCAGTGCAGGTTTCTAGGTAACTGTGGGGGGGGGGGGGGGGGGGGGGGGGGGTGGGCGCCACCTGCTTCTTTTCAGACACAACACAGTCATCCAAGGGAGGGCTATTCTCTTTCTTTGAATTGTTGAGAAATACACGCACCAAAAGAAAATGATTTGTGCTTGCTACATTTTAAATGTTAAACTTGTTTTGAAGCACATGTTCAAACGTACCCTTTGGACCAGATATGTGCAGAATTTAACCATGGTGTTTCACAGATCATTGCAAGGTTGTAAACTTGTGAGCCTCATTTCATCATAATCCTAACAGGGTTTTTTTTTTCTAACTATGGACTCCTATTTTCCAAGTTAGTCATTTAGCACTTAGGTCTTGTGCAAAAATAATCCAAAATGGGTTTAGATAGTAATCTTGATGGAACTCACTTTACATGAATTCTGTGTGTAACAGGCAATCTGTTTACAAAACAAAACTGACACAACTCTGAGAGGAACTTCATGCAAAATCCACTTCACCACGTTATAGTTAGCTTCATGCGTGGCTTCGTCAAAAGGACGAAAATACCACTGGACTTCCAGGCATGTAATCACAGGACGGAATAGATTCTGATTCAAATAGCGTAAGTGACTTAGAGTAAAGCAGCAAACAAGAGACCGACAAGACAGAATTAGAGAGACAAAAAAATAAACCCACCAAACCTGTTCTGCAGGTTCTTACAAATACCTGACAGCTTACTTTTTAGCTGTCAGGTGATACTATCTCTTTCATCCACACTCACACACCCCTACTTGCTTTGTCAGGGCATAGAAGGTGAATGTAGCTTAAGTCAGCACTCTGAAGCCCCCCCCCCCCCTCCCCAACATTGATTTGAAGAGCACCTCTGGAGGTCACAAGAGTGAGACTGTAAGGAGAGTGAGACTGTAAGGAGAGCCAACCTCTGTCTTTTAGCAATAGTGGTTGCGAATGATTCAACTTTTTAAAAATAGTGTGTATTCCCTTTAAGATAATCTGGGATTTGCCTGATGTAGTGTAAAGAGATGTAAGGTGTAAAAGATCCAACATAAATAAGTACCCGACGCACAGTGCAAATCCAGGATGTAAAATAACATCTTTCACATGACCATGTCCTGCTGTTTACCTTTGCTCCGCTTCCTGGCGGTGGCGAATGGCGACTTTCGTAGGGAGCTTGGAGCAGTCTTCCTGTAGAAACTGTTTCTGTCCAGGGACCCCACATATACAGGTTTGTGACCCTTATTTGAACCCGCACTTCCAGCACTTGACTCATATCCCTTCTCCTGGTCATCACTGTGCTGATATACACCTGGATCCTCAAAAGAGTGGATTTCCCTACGTGCCAACTTTTTGTTCTGCTCCTCAACCCATTCTTCACAGTGTGATAAGGGATCAACTTTAGGATATTCCTCATATCGTGAATCTATCGATAGAGACCGCAAAGCCCTGAATCTGTCTCGAGGCCTACTGTGGAAGTGTTCTCCTTCTCTGGATTGGTAGCGATTTTCATAGTTGTGGTCATAGTCGTCTTCGGGCCTCCGCTCATAGCGCTCCCTGGGCTCATAGTCCCGTCGTTTGTTGTTATAATGCTCATCCCGCCTGTCCTCTAAGTCCTTGTATCTGTAATTGGGTTTCCTCTCCCGGTGTTCTTCAACTTTAGAGTCATAGTTACCTCTTCCTTTCCTGGAGTGTGTTTCCTCACCCCTTCGATCACGGCCATCTCTGTACCTGTAGTCGGCTTCCCTGCGTTCATCCCGATCCTCCGCATGACGCTCGTAACGAAGGTCCTTACGTTTTCTGTCTTCATAGTAGTTATCCCTCTCTCTGTGTCTGTGGTTGTCTTTGTCTCTGGAATGATGATTCTCTTTAGAGCCATAGAAATCTTGATCATGATCATCATAGTGGTCACTGTCCCAGTGACTGTCTCTATGAGTGTAGGAGTTTTTTTGATCATAATAGCCTTCATGTTCACTGTTGTAGCTGTCATGCTCTCTGTGGTCATGTCTCCTGTGTTTCCGGGTGTCATAATACTTGTCCCTTTGGTCATGCTCTTCATTGTATTTCCTGTCATAATAATCCCTCTGCCTGTATCTGTCACTATAATCATAATCTTCCTTATCATGGTGACTCCTATAGTCATAACGTCCAGAGTCATATCCATTTTCTCTATCCAAACCATCCCTTCTTCTTTTCTCCTTATCCATTTTACTGTGACCTGCTTCAGCTCGGAGGTCATTCTTGTCTTTTTCTTGTAACACTTCATTATAGTCCTGGTGGCGATAATCCTCAGGGCCTTGGTAGAAACAATGTTTTCCCTTCCAATCCGATATCCTCAAGTCAAGATGACCGTCCTCTGAACGAGGGTGAAAGTATACATTTTGTTCTTGAGGAGTCTGGTCTATAGCCTTTTGTTGGTTTGCATGCTCCCAGCTGGGCTGGTAGCAAACATTGTCCTGTCTAACTTGGGGTTGGTGGTCCCACTGGACCGGCCATGGAACCGGTGCATGCGCTGGTGGTGGTGCATGACCATCCACAGGTCCCACCATACCAGCGTGAAGTGGCATCGGGCACGGTGGAGCTGGACTTGCAAATAAGACTGGAGTCTGTAGCTGGCCAGGAGGAAATCCTCCATATCCAGGATATCCTACCTGTTGCTGTTGAAACTGCAGTTGGTGTATATGCTGCATATGTTGCAAATGGGCCATCCTTTCCCTTTCCTTGGCCCATCCAGCATCCCCCAGCTCTTCCACACTCTTTCCCCTCCTCATTGCACCAGCTGTATAGTTCCAATCCACTGGAGCTAACATACCTGGGCTGCCATAAACTACTGGGCTCTTCATGGCTCTTACTGTTTAAAATCAGCCAACCCAGAGCTGGCAATTTCCTGTTCAACGCGGTTTAATCCCTCTTTCCAAAGTCCTGCATTCCATAACAACGCGGTGTGGAGGACTCCACCTGCCAGGCATATTGTCATTGTATCTCCCACTTGTTTTCTTCTGTCGTCCCTCCACTTGTTTCTGCGGGACTGCCTTGCCTAAGCACCTCCCCGCCCTCTGTGTAACTAAAACATACCCTCCCAACAGCCGTCTCAGCGAATCACAGAGAGAGAAGGGGGGTGTAGGGTAATTGAAGGAGGGACCTCCTTGGGTTAATGATTCAGTTGAGTCACATTGGTGAAGGATTAGCCCGACAGCTCCTCCCATTGTTTCAACTGGCTAGTGCTTCACTTGAAATGTCTGTCTGGAGTTTTCTAAAGATGCGAACAAGCTTAACGTTTTTCTGTTAAAAGATTAATTGACGATTAACAAGAACAACATTTACCATGTTAGTATGTGCTGGGTTTTTTTTTACTGTTGTGTTGAGCAGGTCATTAATGTAACTGTGAAACCAAGTATGTCAGAAAGGAATCATTTACACAAAATGAAAATTTAGTCATTTGCTTAGAAGGAACCGCTTTCCAAGAGTGGCCATAAAACAAAGAGGATAAAAAGGAGGAGAACAAGCTCAAGATTTAATTAAAACTTGTGTATTATATTTAGATACGTGTAATGAGTCAATTAGTGTGTAGAGGGACAGATTTTTGAGAGCACACAACTTGATTAGGACAGAGCAGCCACTGAAAAGTAGCTGCTATGCGTACAATGGGCTATTGTTGAAGACTGTCCGCTCCCTCAGAAGACACACAATCTATTAGTGTGAGAAAAAACCCAAGCCTATTCATAAAGTTGGGGTATAATATAGCCTGCTTGTCTGCATGTGCATAAATAGGCTGGCACCTTGGTTTAAAGGACTTGACAACATTCAATTGCACACACATTTTAAATGTGTTGATTTATTCTTTTGGTCGATACAAAATGTTATACTTTTGTCGGCTGTGTTGCTTTGAGTCCTCTCAGCACAGGCAACCCACGTAGACACAAAGCTTTTTCTTACCTAAAACTGTGTAATCATTAGTGATCAACATCTCAGCTTTCAACAGTGGAGCAAGACCGAAACTGTGTTTGTGTAAGTGTTTCAGCGTAACAATGTCCACATTCCTCCCTGGTTGTGCTTCCTTTTGCTTGCGAGGTTTTCCAGGATCTGGCCAACATTTGGCACATGAAAAAAGAGAGGTTCACCTCCATGGATGAGCTCACACAACAAACTATCCGCAGGCTAGAAATCATGCAGTTTCTGAGACTATCTGACTGAAACCTGAAGCTGAAACGGATCCTGAAAACAGATCTAGCACTGGTGTAACGGAGGCAGGGGGAGGCGTTTTAATAGTGGGTTTAAAGAATTACAGCAGGCTGAAGGTCAAAGAGATTAAACAAGCACAAAAAAAAACAAGATGGTGGAAATGAGAAAATGTACTCTGGTGTGGGACTGTGAGAAAAACACCACTTGGCATGTTTCAGCATCAAGTTTCTGAAAAGTAATACAGATTACAGGAAAATGAAATCCCTCTGTGTTATTAACAATGTTTAGATATACAGAAATGTAGACTTTGTACATCATTTTGGAAATAAAATTTCTTCTCCACATCAAAAACAACCTTTTTTCTGAAAAAGACTGAACAGAATGATCATTTTAAGTCAAACAGCAATGAATGGCAAAAGGTTTTGTGTTTTATTTTGAATCTATTTGATTTAATCATCATTAGTTAAAATACTTTGAAAGTGTCTAGATTAAATAGAAACCACACTTTAAATCCAGTCTTTTTCTCTTTTCAGATACAATTTGTTCACACAACCTTGTGTATAAAATATGTGCACGTTTGTCTTTCCTCCCACCTAAAGAGACTTTGACTCACTGAATGAGGAAAAAAAATGGTCTCGGGCGTCAACTTTACTACACAATAAAATAATAAAATGCAAAGTAAGGCAACTTAAAAATTCTTCCGTAAGAAGTGAGTAGATTTAGATATATTTATAAAATGCAGAAAGTTCACCACATCTTGTTTGGAAAGTGACTGACAGAATTGAAAAATTCTGATTCATTCATAAGAGCATGCGACTTCAGCCAGTACGAGGACTTTGAACACCAAAAGAAGGTGTAGGCAGGCCGGAGGGCTGAATTTGCTCCCTGCCTTGTAACAATAAGCTTCCATTGTCTGTCAGGCGTTACACATGTAAGATACACACCCTGCTAAAGACCGGAAAAACACTCCAGAGCAAGTAGGCATGTGCGCTGATGCATAGCAGCAGCATGAAAAACAAGTTTTTCATTAAAAGAATGCAAGAATGATCTGTATGTACACGTCACTCTGGTAATCATTAAGTAAGAAAACCATCCAAGAAAACATGCTCCTGACATACTGAAGTACCGTCAATTACCACATCAAATATTTAGTACTTCACAAATAACAACACCTTCTTTGCCTATTTCCACATCATACAGAGTGACAACCAACAAAGGAAGGAAGAGATTCGACTTCAATGGAGAGTGAGGAATTCCTGTAGAGTGATGATTAAATCTCATCAATGACACTGCATGATGTTTATAGGCACCTCTAGCTACTGAAACCCGTTCCAGGGCGATTCTTTCCACTGATGTACAAAAGACAAGAGACTCACCCAGTTCTGACAAGTGAGTCAATTGAAGACACCAGACAGAAACAATGGGCATAAGCAGTTACCGATAATCCCTTCACAGTTATGATGACAAACACGATCAATAAAGGGGAGTTAAACTCCAATCTGCTAAAGGTCTCTCATGAGTAATCCAATTAATAAGATGTTAGAGTAAGACAACAAGACAAAAAAAGGCTGAAGAGTGCCTGTTCTTTAGGCCTGATTTACTTTCTGATTGCAAATAATTGAGCAACATAATAGGAAGCGTCTTTATGGACAGAGGCATGCTCGTTTGGAACAGAGCAACAGTGAACTCAGATGTCAGAGGGTTAAAATAATTAAAGTGTTAAGCAGAGGGCAGAAACAGGAAATCAACTAGTTGTGGTGCTAAATGAGTCAACTGTTTAGGGATTACAAAATTCCAAGTTGGCTATTCAGTCATTGTAAGCCTGACAACATTGTAGGGATTCATTATATTGATGCAAAGTAAATAGCAACATTTCCATTATTGTCCTGACAGCATACGCTGATCAGAAAATGATCACTAATGAACGCAATTATAGACAAAAAGAATGGAATCATCTAACTTGGAGAGTAATAAATCTTTTATGTTCCATGAAAAAAAGCATACGTCAACAAAAATAATCTGAATAAAATTGCACATTTCTGCTGTTTTTGTTTTTTAGATCAAGTTTTAGGAGTTAACACAATTAAAACAAAACTATAACAGAAACAATAAAAAACTGCTTTCATTCTTGTGGAGATGTCCCAACTTACTTTCTTAGCCTTTCTGCTATGTTGCACCCCCCCCATGTTTACCAGCCAAGAGAGCACACTAAGCATTGACTCATCAATGTTCTCCTCTTTTCCTGTATGTGACACACCGGACCTTCAGACCCAAATGCAAATCTGTTAGAGCCCACAGAAAATTACACAAACAACTCATTTAGCCATAAAGACACTGCAGTGATTCATTGTGGAATCCTAAACCTCGACTAACCATAACCAGTATATCCCTCCCCTAATCCTTACCTTAGCTTGGGTTTCAAAATTTGCATTTGACAACTTTTGAACTGTGACCTGGTTAACATAATATCTGCAGCAATGTCAGATGAACAAACACACAACTGTACTGTTATGGTGCTCCTGAATTCAAATTTAAAAGCTTCTTCCCAATTAAATCTTTGCACTCAAGGCAGAGACATTTTATTTCAATAGATGAATTAAGCAAAGTTTCCCAAACAGGCACCTCTTTCAGATTTGGAAAAAATGAGAGAATGAATCTACTAAGCACAGATGTCTCATTTCAAAATTCCTTCTATATTACAGTTTGTCTTCGGTTAGAGTGTGTTTTTCCACAGCTGCCCAAAGGCAGCTGAGAAAAGCTAGGACATAAACTGAAGGATATTAAGTTTTATTTCTGGTCTGTTTTCCATCTTTTCAATCTGTGGCCGAGCCCTTCAGCTAGTCAACTTTCTTAAAAAACTAAACTCCAGATCATCCTTGTTGTCTGGGAGTTTAAGCGCCTCTCTGGCCACCGCTCTTACCATGTAGCTGCTGCTGCTCCAGGGCCAGCGTCTCCAGCGTGTAGTTGCAGAACTCCAGGTTCTCCATCGCTTGTACGCGGGCCGTTTCGTCTTCCTCCTCCTCCAGCATTGCCCTGAGCTCCTCGGCCGTGCGTGCGTATTCCTCCATGTCATGTTCCACTTCTTGTAGGCGTAGCAGCAGCTGGTACCTTTCCTCCTCCTCCTTCTGTTTCTCAGCCTCTAACTCCATCTCCCTGTCCAGCTCTTGCTCCGCATCCAGCTCGCTCTGGATTTCATGTTCCTGGGCAGCCGCGAGGTCACCAAATTCCATCTGATCTTCCTCCAGCGCGCTCGCGGCCGGCTCGTTGGGGGCGTAGAAGACAGGGCTGCTGTTCAGGGGGCTGCTGGCTGGACGGGAGCCGTCCCGCCTCGTGCAGTGAGGCGGGGGGCGCGGGGCGGGACGAGCCAGTCTGTACGCCGCCGGGGCCGGCCGGCGCAGGATCCGAGGCCGAGGAGGAGGAGGAGGAGGACGGAGGGTTCTGCGTCTCTCCAAAGACGAAGAGTTGGACCGTGGGAGGTCGGACACAGAGGCGTGCGCGGAGCCTCGGATTATGTCGTTTTCGTCATTGTAGTCCAATATGGAAAAGTGCCGCGAGACGCAGGACTGCTGGTCGGCGTAAGAGGCGGAGCTCACGTTGCTGTCGCTGAGAGAGGAGGTCAGGCTCTTCTCGAACTCAAAAAGCTGCTGGGACAGCTTGGCCTCCAGGTCGCCGGCCGATGCGGCCAGCGCCTCCAGGGTGACGGAGGCTGGCAGGATCCCGTTGGCGCCTCGTGCCCTGGGCTGGGAGCGGGGTCGTGCCTCGGCGGCCTGCGTCGCATCGGCGTCGCTCGCGCTGGCGTGCCGCGTCAGCTTCCCCCGTTTATGGCCCTCAACGATGTTGATCA